AAACTCTAAATGAGCTGACAGGACCAGAAAAAGCACCCCTGGCCTCTTGCTGAGGATGCCTGAAACCCTCGGCTTCACCTCCCAGACCCTGAACCTGTGCCCAGGGCCACCACGCTGCAGAGGCGCATGACGACCCTGGAGTAAGTGAGCCCCGGGAGGCCCAGGGATGGGAGGGGCCAGACAGGGCCCACGGCAAGGATGCAGCAGCCTCTTGGGGATTGCTGGTGGCTATTTCTGTCCGAGTGCCCCCTGGGTCCACAGGCCCCTTTGTGAACCAACTGCCTCCATTTCAGCTGAAGGAAACTGAGGCTCAGTGAGGCCACCAGGCCTCCCCTAAGCCCCACAGCCAGTGGCCCCTGCCCCTCGCTGGTCCATCCACTCCCCAGGAACACTCTGGAGGTGCTGAGGCCAGTGCACCCTGGAATGCAATCCCAGCTCAGACACCGCCCCCAAGGCAAGTGCCTGGGCCACTCTGTGCCTTGGTTTCCCCATCTGCCCAACGGGGCAACGGCCGTCCCCCCGCCACCGACAGGCTCCAGAGGGCGCACGAGACACATGTAAAACATTCAGTCTGCTACCTGCATACAATTCAGTGGCAAATATTAGGTAAAACTGTCATTTATATGTCTCTGATCTCCTTTAAGAAGTTATGTGGTGAGCAGATGTTACCTTGGAAAGCAGGGGGAAATATCCCAACATTTAATGCAAATCAAAACCACAGAGAGCCCTGACTGGGTAGCTTGGTGGGTTGGAGCATCATCCCGTACACCAGAAGGTGGGGGGTTCCGTCCCTGGTTAGGGTACATACTGGGTTGCGGGTTCCTTCCCTATCAGGGCGCGTATGGGAGGCAACCAATCAACGTTTCTCTCTCTCCTCCTTCCTCTCTCTAAAAATGGATGAACACATCCTCAGGTGAGAATTTAAAATAAAAAAGTGAGACACCACACAATCCCCACCCGCACAGCTGGACCCAGTCATCATCACAGGTGCCGGTGAAGACGCGGAGAAACCGGAGCCTCCTGCACGGCAGCTGGGATGCAAAACGGGGCAGTGCCGTGAACAGCGCTCAGCAGCCCCCAAAACACTGAACACAGTCACCACCTGGACCAGAAATCCCACTCCGATGTGCACAGCAGAGAACCCGAAAACGCATGTTCACACAAAGCTGCGCGTGCATGTTCATGGCGGTAGCCTTCGAGGTGGCCAAAGGGTGGAATTGACTCACATGTCCGAACACGGAGGAACGGATACACACACTGGGCCATCACACACGCTGGGTGTCACTCGGCTGTGAATAAGAGTGACACACTGGTACTACGATGTGGATGGACCTGGAACACTATGCTTGGGGAGAGAAGCCAGGCACAGAAGACCACAGAGTGTGTGATTCCGTTTATGTAAAGCAGGCCAAGGGGAAGGAGTGGAGGAACGTGCTAAGGGGGATGGGGCTCATTTTGGGGGGATGAAAAAGTTCTAAAATTGACTGTGGTGATAAGTGCACAGCTTTGTGAATATACTAAAAAGCTAGTGAATTGCACACTTCAAGTGGGTGAATTCCACGCTACGCAAATTTTCTATCAATAAAGCTGTTTAAAAGTTCCAATGTTTATATGAGTTCTTGAGACGAAGGATTCAATTCCTTAAGCAGCTGAAGACCTGTGATGAAGAGTTTGCCAAAAGCCCTGGCCAGGTGACTCAGCTGGTTAGAGTGTTGTCCCCACACGCCAAGGTTGTGGGCGTGATCCCTGATCAGGGCACATACAGGAAGCAACCAATGAATGCGTCAACAAGTGGATCGACAAACTGATTTTTCTCTCTTTCTCCCCGTCCTCTCCTTTCTCCCTCTAAAATCAATCAATACATTCAATACATTTTTTAAAAGAAAAAAAAAGTCTACTGATTTAAAAACTCACAATGGGCCCTGGCTGATATAGCTCAGTGGATTGAGTGCCAGCCTGCGAACCAAAGGGTCACAGGTTCAATTCTCAGTCAGGGCACATGCCTGGGCTGCGGGTCAGGTCTCCAGTGGGAGGTGTGCAAGAAGCAACCACACATTGATGTTTCTCTCCCTCTTTCTCCCTTCCTTCCCCTCTCTGAAAATAAATGGATAAAATCTTTGAAAACTCATAGTGGCACTTCCTAGAGTCCAGGCATGGCCATGTGAGTGACAGGAAACCACCAGAAGCCACATCCGATGCCAGGAGGCTGAGATCCTAAGTGTTGCCCATTACATAACCTGATCCCCAGCCAGTGGCTCCAGGTGAGCTGACCTCCATCGGTGCACACTGCATGAGGAGGAGGGCCCACAGGGGGAGGTTCCAGGTTTTCCAGGAAAGATTCCGTGGTCACAAGCCCACTGCTCCCGGCCCCTCCCCAGCCTGCCTGCCCTCACACTTATAGCTGAGGGTGGAATTTCAAGGCTGTTGAGGGTTTGGGGGCAGAAGTCAGCTCCAGGCCCTGCCAAGACTCAGGAGGAAGAGGCAAGATGATGCCAAGTGGATGGCTAGCAGCTGGCTGCAGCATGCCAGGAAGGGGGTGGGGCAGCGCCAGAGTCAACATAGCCCTGCCACCTGCAAAGCTGACTAGGGCCAAGCCACTGTTGACACTGGCTGCACAGGTGCCTGGCCAGCTGAGTGGACAGGCAGCACCAGCAGCTGGACCTGCCACAAACTGGCAAGAATAAGCTCCCTGCCCTGGCTGGCATGGCTCAGTGGACTGAGCGCCTGCCTGTGAACCAAAAGGTCGTCAGTTCAAATCCAGGTCAGGGCAGATGTCTGGGTTGCGGCCCAGGTTCCCGACTGGGGACGTGTGACAGGCAACCGATCAATATGTCTCTCACACATCACTGTTTCTCTCCGTCGCTTTCTCCCTCCTTCCCTCCCTCCCCAAAGATAAACAAATAAACAAATGAAAAGGAGAAACTTGGGGCCCTCCCTTAAAAACAAAACAAAATGAAAAAAGAACAAGCTCCTAGCACCGCAGGGCAGGCCCGGCACCCCCGCTGACCCTGTAAAACACCGACCACACCCCACGTGCTGTCCGTGTACTTGCTCGCTGACCTTCTCCACTCACGACAGGGCAGACCTTGAAAATGACTGTATGACACTGGGGCTCCCTGACCCTCTGGCCTCAGTTTCCCCCCCTGAAAACAACTGTATGACCCTGGGTGTGACCATCATCAATTCCTAGATGAATGGGACAACAGCTCCCAAGGCCCTTTGTTCCTGACCCACAGGAAGGTCTCTGGTGTCAGGGCTTCCGACCCCTCTCCTCCACCTGGCCTGACTGCCGACACCCCGCCCGCATCTCCTGTCCGTGTTGGGGCCAGAGGAGCAGGGGTTCTGTCCATCTCTGACCCCCCCAGAGGCTGCACAGCCTCATCCCTCCTACCTGGCTGTGACCCTGTAAGGCAGGGGTGTCTGTCTGGCTTTGTCGCTCCCCAGCCTGGGGCTCCCCGAGTACTATGTTCAGGACAAACAGCAAATACTAGGCAAACAAATAAATGTGACTCGCCTACAACATGCCCGTCTGTGTTCTACTGAACCCAGAGGATGCCAGGGGCTCAGTCTGCAAAACCTCCCCCAACACTATGCCTTCATTTTCTCATCTGCAAAATGGGGTGAGTGGGTGCTTGGTAAGAGGTTTCTTCCCAAAGGGAGAGAAACTGAGGCAAGGAGCAGGGTGGGGCTGTCAGTCCTATATGCAGATTCAGGCTGGTGTCCACATGCAGGGGGTAGCCAGGACCACTCATGGGACATGGCTGGCTTCATCCTGAGGAGGCGACATCTGCTGGATTTCATTCCGCCAAAAGACACCACCATCCGTGGGCCAAAATGAGGCAGGAGGCAAGGCTGCCCCACCCAGCCACCTGGCAGCTCCCAGGAAGGCAAGGGGGCCAGGGAAGGGAGGCGGTTAACTCTCCCTCCCTTCCTGGAAGCTGGTGTGCCTCCCCAGCGGGTGCAGTCCCTCCCACTGGCTCCATCCCCGTCACTCCCACTAGAGCTCCTGGCTTGTCCCCATGGGTCCAATTCCCTGTTCTTTACTTCATCTGTGAGTTTTCTGATGGCTTGAACTGGTCTCTGAGAGCTGCCCGGTCCCAGCATCCTTTTCTCCAAGTGAGGCTGAGAGGGAGGCCACTGGCTTTGGATCCCCAGAGACCAGCATAGGGTGACTGGGCCTCACCCCCCACGAGGGTTCCACAACCTATCCAGGAGCCAACACCCAGAGGTCAGCCAGCCTGAGGCCACTCCTGTGTGCTGGCGTGTCCACAGCCTGGTGAAGCCCCAGCAAGGTCCCTTCCAGCCACTCCCAAAGGTCGGGGCAGGGCCCAGCTGGCTGAGGATGGAATGCAAGCCCCACCGGCCGCCCTGGCTGCCCCCCGGCCGCCATCTGGTTTCCATCTGCCCAGCCCAGCTCGGCCAAACTTCAAAGGATGCCCCGCCCGGCCACTTCCTCTGCCCTGGCCCCGCTCTTGGGAAGGCACCAGAATGGCCTGCTTCCTCCCCGCCCCTCCAGAGCCCCAGGGTGCGCAGCCGTCCAACGTGGCCACCTCCTTCTCAATCAACAGCCTGGGCCTCAATAAACTGGACTCCACTCAAGAGACCAGACCAACAAGGCCTCTAAACCAACAAGGCCTCTAACCCCCACCCCCCACCCCCCCACCCCCGTCACCAGGCCACACCCACAACCCATGCGGAGCCAGTCCCCTTGCACAGCCTTTGCCTGGGCTGTTCCCTCCACTCTGAAATCCTCTCCTCACTCTGCTCCTCTTCTGCTTGTCCTTCTGGTGCAGGCACCAAGAGCTCCAGACTTCTCCTTCCTGGCTCAGGTCCCCCATATTCATGCATTTAACAGCCAGCCAGCCTACCCATGGGATCCCTCGCGCCCAGCTTGGCACCTGCAGGCAGGAGGCAAAAGCCATCCGGGCCAGCGGGAAGGGTCCCAGTAACAGCCAGGTGTGCCCCTGCTTCTATAGCCCTCATTCCGACACACAACCCACCTGCTTGAACTGCTCCTCGTACGTCCAGTCCCCATGGTCAGGAGGCTGTAGCTGGGGTGCGACATGGGCAGCTCCTCCGGGGTGGGCTGGGCCAGCCCCTGGGCGCTCCTGGCTGCCCAGCACCCGGGGCCCCCCATCACCGCCACGGAAGGCCTGGGGCAGCTGGGCCTTGTGGGGGAACAGGGCTGCAGGGCCCAGGCCAGCAGAGCTTGGGGGCCCGAGCCCCTCCTCGTCTTCATAGTCTTCCTCCTCCTCCTCCTCCTCGTCCTCCTCCCCCAAGTCTTCCTCCAGCTCTTCTTCCTCCTCTTCCTCTTCTTCCCATTTTGGCTTCCTGGGGTGGGCAGAGGGCAGAAGTCAGAGGAGAGGGCACCAGCTCATCCCTGCCCCGGGGTAAGTCCAGCTCCTCATTCCAGCCTGGTTTCCCCCTCTCCACACGGGAAGGCTGGGCCTCACCTGCCTCAGCTGCTGTGAGGGCCGGTAAGCGGGGCGTGGGCCCTACACCTTTTGGTCCCAATTAGCTGAGACCAGCTGTAGCTGCCCCTTTGACATAAACCCCAGGCCCCACCTAGAGCTAACTGGCTCTCCCTCTCCTCTCCCTTGTTGCACAGGCTACCCTGCTAAGCCTTGAAAACACCAAGCTGGTCCCTGCCTCAGGGCCTTTGCTCGGGCTGTTCCAGGCTCCTCAGCCTTTCCTAGGGACTATCAACACTTTGCTCATCATTCTAGAAAGTTAATCCTGGCCATAGCCACCCCCTTCCCCAGCACCCGTTTCATTTTCTTAGCAGCCCCAACACAGCCTGCAATCACCCTGCTTCTTTACCCCACTGGGTTCTCGCCAGCACCCAGCTCAGGGCCCACACTGGACCTCCATGGAATACAGACCCCAATGAGCCAACCAATCCCCACCTCATGCAGGCCCCACCCAACCCACCAACCTTTTCTGTCCCTGACATTGAATCTGCTGCAGCCTCACTGAGCCATGGTTTAAATTACGGTGCAACAGTGTGGTGATTGTGGTGGGGAGGGGAGTATAAGGGCACTAAATGGTAATGGGGAAAAAATACAATATAAATAAATGAAAAGTAAAATACAAGCTTGAAAAAAATTAAGATGCCAAGGACACTGCAAACACTGATCCTCGGCCACACCTGTGGCAATGGACACATCGCACACGTTCAGTAGCCACTTAGGACTTGTGGCATCCACACTGGACAGCCCACTTGGAGGACAACACCTCCAGTGCCATCCAGAAAGTCCAAAGGGTGGCACTTCCCTGGGGGGTTTTGTCCTGCCCTCACAGCTCTGCTCCAAGACCCAGACACCATTCAGTGTGTGAAGACTGCAGACCCTCACTCACAGGCAGTCATCAGAGCCCACATCCTCAAAGTGCCCGTCGCCTTCGGCATGTCCTGGCGCCTCTCTGCCTCGGCCTGGTGAGGCTGGTTCCCTCTCCTGTGCAGTGTCGTCCTCCTCTGAGCCAGGGGGCCCATCCTCAGAGCCACAGGGACTCGGTGCAGGTCCAAGGCCTGCAGCAGCAGCCCGCATGGCAGCCAATGCAGCCATCTGTGCCTGCTGCATTCGGGTGTTCTCGGGGTCTCTGTCCTCGTCCAATACAGCCCTGGAGAGGGCTGGGGGACCAGCAGGGGCCTCGGCCAGCAGCGGCTGCCGGGACTCCAGCTCCTGGCGTGCTCGCTGCTGCCGCTGCAGGAGTGTCTCCATCACAGCCTGTAGCTTCATGGCCCTGCGGGCTGGGCCACCCCGGGCACCAGGGGTGGGTGGCAGGGGTGGCCCCTTCGGGGAGGGGGCCCGGCCGCACTGCAGTGTGGGGGCCGAGGGGGAGCTGGGACAGTGCAGGGTGGCGGGGGGCAGGGGCCGCTTGGCTCAGACTGAAGGCTGATGGGGCATGCCAACAGGTGGCACCTCCTTCTCACGCTGGGCACGGAGAGGCAGCAGCTGGTGTCCAGCTCATTAGTGTGTTTGCAGAAACCTGAGGGCAGCAAGAGAGACTGTCAAATCACACTGGGTTCCTTAGTGCCGTGCTCCCCACTGAGGTTGGATCGCAAAGGCTTCTGGGAAAATCTCTCCCATTCACTCCCATCAGGGTGCAAACCTGGGGGCCTCCCTGGAGGCAGAGAAGCACACTCTTATCCATCCTCCCTCTCTGCCCTCCAGTGGGCTGGGAAGCAGGGTTACCTAGCACTGGGCTCCCAAGGATCTTGAGGCAGCCCCACAAAGAAATATGCAGTTGCCGACTTCATTGTGGGTTATTGCTCCATAAACAGAGCAGGGGGAAACAGGACATTTCTGGCCTCTGATTGGCTACAGCTGGCTGCCAGGCACCAGAATGCAGGTGGGTTCTGGGTTCTGATTCCAGGTTCTAGGTGCTGCTGCTGCCCAGCCGAGAGGGCTCCAGGTACCCCACTCTCTCACAGGCTAACAGAGAAAATGGCTAGTCTAGACTGAGTGCTTGCTATATATGGTCCCTGAGCTAACCCTTCCCTGCTCATGCTTTCAGCCCTAAGCTTCAGCTCCTCTGGAACTCAGTTTCCCCATATGCAAAGTGGTACCCTAACTGCACCCACCTCACTGTGCTCAGGCAGAGATGAAGTGAGTTTATGATGGTGAAGACAAGTACAAAACAGACACCACTTTACGTCAGTGGTAAGAAAGTAGGCACTAGATTGCCCACATTTTATGGATGAGGGAAACTGAGGCTCAGAGATGTTCTGTTAAGTGGAGTCTGGGTGCCATCAGAACCTCCCACACTGCCCCCGTGTGCTCTCTGCAGGGGACTTCCTGTGCTCTTTGGGACCCCAAGTAGAACCAATGTCCCGGAATGTAATGCACTCCGTCCCTAGCCTGGGTTCCCCCTTCAGTTCACCACTAACCTTAATTGCTAGGGCCTCCAGTGGCCTTGGAGAGGGATGTCCCAGAACCTGGCACAGCCAGGCTCCACCAGGACAGGAGGATTCAGGTCTCACCCCAGCCCCCCACCCCTGGGCCACACCCACCCCCACCCAAGTGACCAATAAAACAAATGGGCAGAACTCAACAGGCCTGGTGGTGATACCCCAGATACCACAGGGATAGTGGGGAGGGCAGGAGGGTCCGGGAGGCTGCCCCTAACACAGCAAATGAACCCCCAAAGGCTCTTAACCTGCTCCTGGGGCAGAAGGATCTCACACAGGAGGAGCCAGTGGGTCTGAGGGGCCAGAGGCTCCTGGTTCTAGCTGACCCGGGGTCACCACTATGGTGACCTGCTAAAAGGAACCTGACCCCACCAAGGACACTTGCAGTGTAGTCCTCCCCAACTTCAGTCTTGGGAGGGACCCTACAGAGTCACAGTGAGCCCAGTGGACTTCCACCTCCGCCAGGCTAGCCACTCTTTCTTTACCCAGGAAGCCCCAGGGGGCCTGGGTAAAAGGGCAATGGGGGGGAACAAGTGAGTGGTCCCTGTAAAAAGTGGGAAGGGACACACCCTTAAAGGACCTCAGTATCCAGCAGGGCTCTCTGGGCACAAAGACCCTATTAAAGGCCACAGTGCTGGAGAGTGACCAGCACAGCAAAGCAACACCCAGACCCTTCCCCCCCCACTGATGGTCACCCCCCACCAGCTCCAAGAAGTGCTGAGGGGACGTTTTCCACCCGTTCACCCAGTGTCTAGGGCCCACTGCCCCTCATTCACCTTTGACAACCTCAACACAAGCCCCCTCCCACGGAAACACTCCAGGCAATGCCTTTCACCGCTTTGTGAGGGGGGGGCATAAGGAAAAGGCCAGAGGAAGCTACTCTCCCCCCATGCTGCCCCTGCCTGGCCTGCTGGGTTTAATGACCCTTCCGGGTCAGCCCGTGGGGGAGGGGAGCAGGGCAGGCCTCCAGGCGGGGTCTGGAGGGGGCAGGTGGGAATCCGGGAGCTCCCTTGGGTTGGGCCTGGGCCCCCTCAGGGCTGCCATTAACCCTGAACTGGCAGCACCCACCCCCACCCCTCCCCCCAGGAGCCCTTTGTCCTCGGCCCCTACTCCCACTTTATGACAGCCCCATGGGAAAGCATTCCCAGGCAGGAACCTGGCAGGGGTGGGGGGTGCTGGGTGGTCGTTAGGACCTGGCTGGCGGGTGGTGAGGAGGGATCGGGCCACACCCTCCCCTTAATGCCTCTAGGAGAGAGAGGTCACCCGCTCAGGCCTGGCCAGGGCCTTGCAAAACACAGTTATTTAAAGAGTTGTGCAAGGCTGGGGCCCGCGGGTGGCGAAAGCGGGCCCTCACTCCACAGAGGGAAGAGGAGGGGGAGGGTGGGGCAGCAAGCTGGGCAGGGGGCTAGGAGGGATGGGAGGGGGCTAGGAGGCTGGGAAGGGGGCGGCCTGGAGGAAGTGAGAGAAACACTGAAGAAGAAATAAGACGACGAAAACCCCAGTCCCGGTTTCAAACGCTTCTTGGAAAGCGGCCGATTTGCATGGTGGGTGGGGGGGGCAACCCTCGGTCCGGGAGACTGAAAAACGGAAGATTATTGACAAACGCGCAGCCCGGGTCAGACACCAAACGTTGGAATTGACAAACGCTCGCTCCTCGCGCTTCCTGCGCCCGCTTTGTGTCTGGGGGGCACTAAACGGGGGAGGGGGCTTTCCCCGGGGATCTCCACCAGAGAGCCAGGTCCCTGGCCGAACCCACCCTCTAGTGCGGGCACCGCGTAGTCCCCTCCAGGGGGCCCTTTCTGCCCGAGGGCCGACACTTTATAAATAAACTGTCCAGGCAGGGTAGGGTCACTAGGGAATTGCCCTCCCCACTAGGGCTCCCACTCCCCTCAGAACTCCAGAATAAAACACCAGATTCCGGGGAGAAAAAAAAATGAACGAAGAACTCGGAGCGCAGCCCCCAGCGCGCGCCCAGAGACCATTTCCTTCCGCTAGAGGGGGAGCGCAGTTGCGACCCCCGATCCACCCCGCGCGCGCACGCACACGCGGGCGCGCCCCTATGCCACACGGTAGGGGGTGAGGTCAACAAGGGGTGCAGAGAAAACCACCCAACTCCGACCCACTAGGGTCGCCTTCACGGAGTGGGACCACCACCCACATCCCTGCCCAACTTCGGGAACCCCATCACCGTGAACCGAAACCCACGATTTAAAAGGCCAGCGTCCGCACCCGAGCCTCACCGCGCGGGGCCCGCTCCCCCGGCGCATGCCCCACGCCTGGCGTCCGGCCCTGCCCCGGCCGCGCTTGGCCTCCGGCCCGGGCCGCAAGCTGAGAGCTGCTGGCTCCCGGCCGCCGCCGTGTTTGCGCCGCGCGCGGACTCACCTAGCAGCCGGCCCAGTCCGCGTCTACACCCCCATCGGACCGGATTGGTAAAAGTCTCCCTGCGCGCGGCCTCCCCCGCCCCTCCCCTCCCCCCCACCGGCGCGCTCACCGCCGGGAAGACAAATCACCGGGTGACAAATCGCTCTCAGATGCAAATACCTCGCGGGTGATTCAGCGCCGCGGCCTGAGACGCGGGGAGGGGTCTCGCGAGGCCCCCTCCCCCTTCCCCGGACGGTCCTGGTCCTCCCCGCGCTTGGTCGGACCACGCACGACCAGCCCTGGGGTGTTGGGGAGGGAAAGGAGAGTGGACGGAAATTCTCGGGTCGCGGCCCCTTTAAAAAATAATACATAATAAAAGTAAGGGGAACACCGACGCGGGAGGCCCCGCCCCCTGCCTAGGGACGGTGGGCAAAGTGCGTACCGCCTCCGAGAGCGCACAGGGCACACAGCGCTGAGGACGCGGGTGGAGTTGGGAGCGTCCGAAGTGTGGGGGAGGAGGAATAAATTGGGGCGACCAGATCGGCGTCGGAGAGCTCCTCCGCATCTTACAGAGCACCCGGGGTGGATCTACCAAGCTCGCAATTGCCCTTCTGTCCCCTGAGCGTCCCGGTGCGAGTGACCTGCCCCCCCAACCCCAGCTGAGCCTCGGTTTTCACGTCTGTAAAATGGGGATTCGAAACCCGGGGAAGAACTGAGCTATAGTAACGAGAAATGAGAGCGGGGCGGGGCCGGAGAGAGAAGCCCGAGTCTAGCCAGGGGCCGTCGCACGTTAGGGAGGAGTCCTGGAGGGGGAACGGCTGCCCAGCGGGGAGCGAAGCCCCGCTAATGAGTTGCTACCTTCTGTGCTGGATCCGGGGTGGGGGTGAAGGGGCTCGTCGCGAAATCGAGGCGACCCCTAGCCCCGACTGTCAGCACCTCTTAAGAACCTGACAACCCACCTAGGAGAAGATCCTCGTCTTAGTAATAATTTTAATAATTTTCGTATTCTGAATGCTTAGGTTCCTGGCCACGTGCCCAAGGCAATATTCAACCCTCACATCTTTAGGTGGTGGAGACTCTAAATGTCCCCATTTGGAAGAGCCGGAAACTGAGGAACAGAGTAGGGTTGGGAAAGGTGGGATGGGGATGTGGGCTCAGCCTGAGGGAGTTGCACCCTTCAGCCCAGGTAAGTGGGAGATTAGGGGCGAACAGGGGCCACCCAGGGGGCCCTACTTCTCAAGGGTCCCCACCGGGTGCGATTCGGCTCTCTCATCTTGAATTTTGGGGTGGGGTCTTGTGCAGTCCATTGCTTCTCCTAAAGTACACTACATTGCCATCTTTTTGGGATCATCCCTCCACGTCGCCCGCCCCCCAAATTGTAGAGTTGCCTGTAGTCTAATTGCAGCAGGTGGCAGTGAAGCCTCCACCTTTTAGGCTTTTAAACACCCAGCCCCAGCTGTTGCCCCACCCCCACCCCAGGTGCCTGGGGAGGGGTAATTTAGAGACCCAGCTAAGCCTCTCTCTCTCTCTTCCTCTTTCTCCTCACACATTTTATTCTATCTAAAGTTAGGTATTTTAGTTATGAGATGGAGAAAATCATCACATTAAAATGGCGACATTTCTGAAAAATAGGTTTCACATTTATGTGATCGGAGATCGACTTCCCATATACCCCCAAAACACCTCCACCAGTCCAGAGCTACAGACCACGTCACTCCGCAGCCATGGCTAACATGTGGTGCCGGTGCAGGGAGAGGGTCCTGCAAAGGGAGAGGGTCCTGGGCCCCCAGCCCAGTCTCCGAAGTGGAAGGAAGCCCCCTCCACACCCAGAAAGAGCCAAGCAGATCAGAATGGACCCCTGTCTCATGCCAGGCAGGTACATGGGCCTCCTTTTGCCTCAGTTTCCCCTTCTGTAGAATGGATCAATATTAATTCATTCCTCACACGGTAGTTTTGAAGACTACATTTCCTCTGTTATATGGGAAGGGGGCAGGGTAGGGGGTCCTCTGAGGGCAAGAAGGGTGCTGCCCTCTCCCAGCACCCTTAGTCCTAGTCCATACCTAGCTAGATGCAGCTTCCCCAGAGGTGCCCTGCCCAGGAGGGTCAGTGACTGCAAGATTCCCAGCTGTCTCCCATGAGGGGGTCCTATTTTTAGCCCAGGGAAGGAACTGGGAAGCGATACAGACTTGCTGGCTCTGCTGCAGGTGGACAGCAGCTCCAGGTTCTCTCTGGGTCATGGCTGTGTGATTTTAGGTTAATCCAGACACCCGTCTGATCTCTGTTTCTCAAGATGGAAATTAGGTACAGCAACCCCAGTTTCATAAGGTTTCTTAGCCCGACCATCTTGTGGGACCCCTAGTGCTTTGAAGAGCCCCGCCCCACAAAGGAACAGCCTGGTCGTCCCCCAGGTCCTTAGCCCATCATTCAACTGCTCTCCAGTGAAGGAGGGGTAGGTATCCTCTTTAAAAACACCCAACTCTCCAAACTGCCTCCCTTTCCACATTATTCCTACTCAAATATATGTATTCCCACTTCCCAGCCTTTGCACTAGCCATTCCCCAGCCTGGAGTGCCCTTGCCACATCACCCCATGACCTGTGCCTTGCCTTCTCCGGATTCAGCGGGAACTTCAGCTCCTTGGAGGGTCTTTCCTGATCCTGTCGCACTGTCAGGTGTGCCCTATCACCTCATCACATCACTCTTTTAATCTTCATCCAGGTACTTGTATTTCAAAACAGCTGTATTTATTGAACGGACTCAGCCTTGTCCCCTGCTGTGTCTCCAGCCCTGAGGCCGAGCCTGCCATGTAGTAGGTGCTCAATAAATGTTGGCTGACTGAATGAATTCGTGTTCCCTCTCTTCCTCTCACATCCTACATGGTGTTTTGGTGTCTGTCTACACAGAGGTGGAGTGCAAATTGAAGTATTCACCATATCCATGTATTAAAAAAAAAAACACGTGGAGTGGGGCTGTGGGGCCCAACTCCGTACCCCCCCCACCTGCCGTCATTCACACGTGGCTTCAGGTTGCCTTGTCGTATCAGGCAGGACCCACAAACGTGTAATTTTAACTTCTTTTAAAATAAGAAAAAATGAATATAATAATCAGGAATACATAGTAATGAATTCTGCCTAAAGTACATTCATCTTTATTTTTAAAAAATTCTATTTACTTATTTTTAGAGAGAGGGGAAGAGAAAGGGAAAGAGGGAGAGAGACATTAATGTGCAACAGGAACATCAGTTGCCTTTCGCACGCTGCCACCGCCGGGACGCCAGCAGCCCAGGATGTGCCCCAATCCCGATGTGCTGAACCCGCGACCCCTTCGCCTGAAGGACACTCAATCCACTGAGCCGCACCAATTAGGGTTATATTCGTTGTTATACTAACACAGCTGTAAAATGTAATTTTAAAAATATGTTTTCATAAAAGGGGTCCATGAAACAAAAGTTCCTGAGACCAGGGCAAGAAATAGTGTGGCTCTGCTTGACCTATTTTGCAGCGAGGAAACTCTCTCAGCGTAGGGGCGGGGGCGTCCAGGTTGGGGTACTCGTAAGTGATATTTCCCTAGAGGCGGGGGACTCCTTGCCCAGGGCAGGGGGCGGAGGTGATCAAGCCGGGAAGCTAGGAATTTCTATGGGGTGCGCGCGCCATCTGCCGGGAACCTGCGGAGCTGCAGCCGCAGGGCGGGACCAGAGTCGTCGCACCGCGGCTCCCACTGGAGGCCGCTAGGTGACGCCATCTCACGTGAAAACCAGTTTCCTGGATCAGACGGGGGAGACTGAGGCCCGCATAGTTTTTTCTCCTCTGTAGCGCCATCTGAATGCTCTAAGGTGGGGTTGCTAGATAAAATATAACACTGGCAAATTTAAATTTCATATAAACGAATAATTTTAGATATATCCTAAGTATTGAATGGATTTTTTTTCATTTTTTATCTGAAAAGAAAATTAACCCTTCTTCCTACCCACCCAGACCCCTAGGGCTTTCCCCATATGGTGGCCCTGGGGCCCATACCCAGGTGGGTTGTACTGCCATATGCCTGGCCCTGGCAGACCAAAATATTGGAATAGTCACAATAATGAAATAATAAATTGAAAGCAATCTCCACATATCTTGGACCATGTCTCTCCCTGCTGAGAAGCTTTACATGGTGCCCGTCAACCTGGAAAACAACCTGACTCATCCCCGCTGTTGGCAAGATTTCCCCCTTCTCAACTTCTCCGTGTCTCCTCCTCAGGGATTGGGGTCCCTGGTCTTGAATGTCCCTGGTCTTGTGCAGCTCACGCCCTAAAGTACATAGCATTGCTGTCTTCTCAAGGTCATTCCCCCAAATCGTCCCCCAGATTTCGGAGCCATTGTCCGGGGGAGTCCCAAGGACAGGAGACAGGTCCTGGTGAGCTGCCCCCATCACACCAGGGCCCAAGTCCTATCTGCCCCTTTTGGGATCCCAGCCCCTAGCCCCAGGGTTAGCTGGGGTCTAATGACAGCAAGGAGCAGAGAGGCCTCCACCTTTAAGCTATTAAACACCCAGGCCCAGCTGTTGCCCCCCACCCCAGAGTTAGGAACCTGGGGAAGGGTTGTTCAGAGACTCAGCTGAGCTGGGGAGGGAGGCCACCCATAAAGGGCCAGGCCCCAGCTCAGTCTCCAAAATGCAGGGAAGCCCCCTCCACACCCAGAAACTGCCAAACAGATCAGAATGCACACCCACCCCACCCCAGGCAGGTGCATGGGCCTCCCTGTGTCTCAGTTTCCCCCTCTGTAGAATGGGTCAATATTAATCCATTCCTCACACAATAGTTTTGGGAACTACATTTCTCTCTGTTATGCGGGAAGGAGGCAGGGTGGGGGGGGTCCCCTCCTCATTCCCCTCCAGCCCACCTGCCTCTAGTGATTTCTCAAATCCATCTAATATATCCTGCGCCAGAGCCTTTGCACTGTCTTGTGCCCTCCATCTGGTGTGCTCTTCCCCCACCTCTGTGTTCAGTTCACATTTCCTGGACACACCTCTTCCAGGAAGCCTTCCTGGACTCCCCCCCCCCAAGGTCAGGTTTCCAGTTATTCACAGTGCACACATTTCCCCTTCTTAACCCCTTTTACTACTGTGACACTGCATCTCTCTAGGTAGTTTGCCACTTACTGGCCCCATCACCCACTAGACGGGGGGTTCCATACTGGTGCAGGCAGGGGCTGCTCATTGCTTCTGTGTGACCCAGCCCCTACCACAGAGCCTAGCATACAGAAGGGTCTCTGAAACCAGTGTCCAGCTGAACGGATGTGAAAATAAACAAAGAGCACACCATGCATCTGCAGTTTTAAAATGATTCCCCTTTCTGAATGTTCCTTCCCTTTAATTTCATTTTTTAAAACTTTTTGTTTCAAGATGATTGTAGAATGCGTAGAGAGCTCCCTCATACCCTCACCAAGCTTCCCCTATGAGTAACATCTTACAAAACAGTAGTACGATATTGCAATCAGGATATCGACATTGATGCAATCCAGCCATCCTCTTTGATTTCTCCATTTTACTTGTACTGGTGTGTGTGTGTGTGTGTGTATTTGTCACCATCACTTTATCACCTGCGTAAGTTTGTGAACCCACCACCACAGTCCAGGGACAGACCAATCCATCAAAAAGGTCCCTCGGGTCACCCACCCACCTTTCTCTCCTCACCATCACCCTTCACCCAGGCTACCTTGAATGTGTTCTTCATTCCTGTAGCTTTGCCACCTCCAGGATGTTAAGAGCTCAAATCACACATCATGAACTTCTGGGGATAACCCTTCCCACTCAGTGTCCTGCCTGCAGATCCATCCGAGACGTTCTTGTGTCTGTAGTGTGTGCACAACTCTTCCCTCCTGAGTTGTAGCCTGTGGTGCGGCTGGCCCGCAGCCTGTCACCCCATACCCTGGTGGAGGGCGTCTGGTTGGTTCCACGTTGGGGCTTTTGCAAATACAGCTGCTACGAACACATATGTACAGGTTTTTGCATGAACTGAAGTTTTCATTTCTCTGAGATAGGTGCCCAAGAGTCCATCCCGCTTAAATTATTATTATTGTAATTGTTCACCCGAGGATGCATCCATTGATTTTAGAGAGAGAGGAAAAGAGAGAGAGAAAGAGAGAACCATCGATGTGAGAAACATCGATCTGCTACCTCCTATACACACCCCTACTGGGGATCAAACCCACAACCTAGATAGGTGCCCTTACCAAGAATCGAACCTGCAACCTTTTGGTGTACAGGATGACACTTCAACCAACTGATACACCCGGCCAAGTCCCTCTTAAATTAATTTTTAAATTCTTTTTTCACAGAGAAACCCTGCCACTCGCACATACTTCTTTTTTTGAATCCCCACAACACATCTGCTTATTCATTCCACAAATATTTATTCAGCTTTACTGTACACTGGGCTCTGGGTATGCCTGAGAGACCAAGTGAGGCATGCACCCAGAAGGCACCATGTCAGGCTGTTAGAGCTGTGATGTTCCCATCACAGGTGGAATGCCTGACCCATCCTGGAGGGAGTTGGGAGGACTTCCCAGGAGGGGAGGCAGCTGGCCGGAGACGTGATGTGTGCGAGAGGGTACACCTGGCACAACAGAGGAAATTGCATGTGTAAAGGCCCCCGATGCAAGAAGAATGGCAGCAGTTCAGGGAGCCACGGGAAGATAGTGACTGGGGGGAAGTGGGAGGTGGGCAGAGCCCATGAGCAAAAAGAATTTCACCCTCATATCCAGCCCATTCTGGAGGCTGGGTCTTGAAAACCAGAACAAACAAGCTTTAGGCTGATGTCAAAATGGCATAACGTTCCAGACTCGGTCTCACACGCGTATCTCTGCAAACCTGGGTTGTTTGGAGAGCCATGTCCCCATATAATCTGGGGCCCTCTGAGGTTCGGGCAGCTCTCCGGTGCCACGAAGCCTTCGGCCTGCAGGGCTGTTGGGGAGACTGCACTATGCCCCCCAGCAGGTACTTGCAGCCCCACCTGCCAGGAGGTGGGGTTCCCACCCCACCTTGTGAAATCTGGTGGGACTCTGACATCTCAGTGTGGAAAAGCGACATTTTAGCATTTCCAAGCCCACACCTCGGGAGATGTGTAGTTTTCACCTTTTCTCAGTAGTTTCTACAAATGAATGTCTGATTTTCCCGACCACCAAGAGTGGGGAGGCCCAGTGGCCCTCAGAGGAGCACTCAGCTACTGGCTGCTAGAGCAAAGCCTTCTCCTAACTGACTTCCGGTGCCAGCCAACACCACATGGTCACAGCACCGCCAGGCTGAGTCCCATTGCCCCTTGGAACAGTAAGAGATAAAAACGGCTGCTGTTCTAAGTCACTCTGTTGGGCCAGTTTGTTACACAGGGACCAGTCCTGCATCTTGTATGGCCGCTCTGTGCACTGTGCCCCAGGGGGGTTCTCTGGCCCAGGCGCTGGACACTCACCGGGTAGCAACAATAACATCCTGTTCCATCTATTTTAAGACGCACGATGTATTCACATTTTAATATCACTGACAATGGGATGAATCTTACAACCCTACAGGCAACCACGAGGCAGTGTGTAAACAACGTCTACTGAGTCTATTGACGCTCCCTGGAAAGTGGCAGACGGTGCCAGCATCAAAGCATCTTCAATTTCAGGAAATGTAGAAACAATCATCATAATAGCAAGAGCGGCAAACATCGCAGCCAATTTGTACCAGACGTTACAAGAGAATAAAACATTTTCACTAAGATTATCTTGGACAAGAACAAAGATATTAATAACAGAATAACGGCAGCTGCTGTTCAAGCAACACCTGTTCCCGAGGGGCCCACCTCCATCCATCCCGCCCGAGTCAGCTCAGAGAGGGGCAGCATGTTCCCTCAGGACGCACAGCCTGCTTGGCCCTGGCTAGTTGCTCCCGGGCGTTCTGGAGGCGGGGTGGGCGGCGTGGCCGGTGGTCCGGGATGTGGGGGACGCAGGGGACGCGGGGGAGCGCAGGAGCAGACTCTGCGCAAGGCCTGACGGAAATGCGAGCCCAGGAACGCATAGAGCAACGGGTTCAGGGCTGAGTTGCTGTAGGACATGCAGTGCGCCCAGGTCTTGAGCGCATAAGCTGCGTAGCTGCGCGGGTGCCAGGAGCCAGCCGGGCCCAGCGCCTGCAGCACCAGGAACAGCTGGATGGGGCCCCAGCAGGTAGCGAAGAGCAGAACCACTGCCGCCACCAGCCGTGACACCCTGGCTCGCACAGCGTCCGCTCGTTCCACCTGCAGCTGCCCCTTGGGAATGGGGGGAGGTGGGAGAACAGGCTATGGGACACCCCCTCAGAGCGTCCCTCCTTAGTCCCCTCAGGTTCCCCCACTGGGTCACCACCCCCTTAGATTCCTCCAGTCATGCCTCCCCCCAGCTGTGTCTACCCTCTTCCTTGCCTGGCCGCGCCCCCCACCCAACCAGAGGCGCACCTGCAGGGCGCTGTCCGCAGGCGCCAGAAGCACGGCGGCCCGGCCCAGGTGGCGAAGCATGGCCCCGTAGCAGGCACAGGTGGCGACCAGCGGCAGCAGGTAGAGTGCCAGCAGGTTGTAGAGTGCAAAAGCGCGCTCGAGAGCGCGGCTGGGAAAGGCCTCGCTGCAGTAGGTGGGCGGCCCCAGCGAGAGGCGGTGCAGAGCGAGCACCGGAGCCGACACGGCTGCGGAGCCTGCACCACAGGCGCAGCTGAAAGACTTTGCCGGGGGAAGAGGGGTAGGAGGGGGCCAGGGCCCTGGTCTCCCAGGCGCCTCCCTAGTCTGCGCCCTCAGCAGTTCTTTGCCGGTAGCGCCATTGTGCCCGTTTCCCAGATGCACGACTGAGGCTCGGAGAGGGGCGGCGAGGAGGAAGGTGGCCAGGGCATGAGGACTTGTCCCCCCCACCCTGTGTGCCCCAGCGCTGCACTCACCCACCCAGATGCACAGGCTGACAAACAGCGCCAGGCGGGGCGTGCGGCGGTGCAGGGCCCGAAGAGGGAACACGGTCACATACCAGCGGTCCACGCTCATGGCAGTCAGGGTGGCACACGTGGCCTGTACCGAGACCTGGGAGTGCCAGGAGCTGGTGTGTGCCTCCTCACCCCCCATCCCTCGAGTCTGAAGCCCGTGTCTGCGCCCACATTGCGAGTACCGCCCGCCCCTACACACAGGGCATATCCTGGAAGGGGCTTCAGATGCCACAAAATTGAAAGGGCAGGAGAAGAGTGATACTATATAGGACCCCAGGATGGTGGGGGCTTGAGGGGGCCACTGGGAGTCTGCTGAGACCCAGGGGCTGAGACAAAGAGAGGCAGAGCCATCCTAGGGACAGGCAGGGCGAGAACTGGGAGAGCCCTCCCTGTGCCCGTCATGGACTCCCAGCACCTATCTGTATCCCTTCCCATTGCCCAGGTCCTCCACTCCCCCACCCCCACCCCATCCCCTCAAGGCTACACTTCCTCCTAGCCCCACCCACCAAACTCTAACCCCACTCCCACCTGCTATGGATGGGGCCAGCCCACCCACACCCAGACCACACCCCATGTCCCCCAGCTCCTCTCCTAAAGCCCCAGCTCACCTGCTGAATGTAGTTGACAAACTTGCACATGAAGTCTCCCAGCACCCAGGCAGGCAGAGGGTAGAGCAGGGCGGTGAACGGCACACAGCACAGCAGGAAGGTCACGTCCGTGGCTGCCAGGTTGGCTGCAGACAGACAATGTGGGGGTGCTGGACATGGGGCCCAGGCCTCAGCCACCCAGCGCTTCTGGTCCAGCTCCCTAGCACTCTTCTTTGTCCGAGTGACCAGTAGGATGGCTCCAGAAGGCTCACTACATGCATCCTCCAGCCTTCCCTCTTACATTTCAAACATCCTCCAACACAGGCTTCATAACCATTCCAGCTCCCAGACCTGACGGAGCTCTGCTCACCCCATCAGGTCTGGGAGAGCCTGAGCAGGCCTGGGAGACCCTGCCCCTCTGAACCTCGGTTTACTCATCTGCAAATTGGAGACAGTGATGCCCCCTCAAAATCCTCCACAGAATGGAGAACACTGACTGAGCACGCACCTGTGCACTAGGCCACCCCATCACACAAGTGTGCAAACCCAAACCACTGTGGCGGAGGTTGTAAACTGGGAGCTGGCAGGACAAGCAGTCCCTCCCCCCACTGCTTTATTCACTGGATACTGTGACAGAAGAATGACATTTCAACCAGACATCTACCTGGAGTGGGAGGGGCCAGCTCTCCAAGCCACGCTCTTCTACCCGCCTTCTAACTACAGCAGCCTGGGCTGGCCCTCATGAACCTTCCAATGCCAGAGTTTGTGACCTCTAACCTGAGGTACAGGGACAACAGGAAAAGGACTGGAGATGGGCAGGGGAGAGACTCCCCTCTGGGAGCGGCGGGCAGGCACCTCGAAGTGCCCAGGTGCTCACCTATGTAGAAGTTGGTCACCGTGCGCATCTGCTTGTGGCGACAGATGACAAAAATGACGAGCAAATTCCCCGTCAGGCCGAGCAGCATCAGCACACCAAAGAAGAGCGGCACCAGCCAGGCATCTACGGGCCACAACGCGTGAGCCAGGCCATCTGAGACGTTGGTGCTGCAGCCTGGACAGCCAGATGCGTTGGCCAGTGCCCACCAGGATACGTTGGGTCCAGACTTGGGAAAGTCATACATGGCTTTGTGACCCTCTTCCTACTGGTTGCCCTCTGGGATTGCACCCGATTGCCTTGGAGATCCTCGTCCTGGCCACCTGCTGGGTATGTACCTGCGGAGCTGAGAAAGGTGTAGGCTGGAAGGCAAGGGATCTAAAGCCGCTGGACTCAGCTGTGCCTCTGCTTGCACACAGCAGCCACCTAGCATTTATACCTGATTACCCCCTCCCCCCGCCCTGCTTGTCCCCTCCTTCCTGCCCTCCTGCAGCCACTTGCCACTCCTTCCCCTGCCTGTGTCCCCTCCTACACAGCAAACTTCTCCCCCTCTCCCTGTCCCACTGAGGTCAGGGTGAGAGCACTGGAAGAGATGGACTGGAGGAGGAGGGATTGGGATGCAGCTGGGGTGGGGTAGCCTGTGTGGGGGCTGCTGTGGAAGGACCCACCCTGACCAGGGGATACAGACTCACTGCTCCTGGGGTCTGGCCGTTAGAAGATGACAGGTGCGGTTCAGTTGGTTGGGCGTCGTCCCTCGAAGAGAAAGGAGGAGGGTTTGACTCCCAGTCAGGGAGCATGCCTGGGTTGTGGGTTTTGTCTTCCCTCAGTCGGGGCACAGGTGAGAGGCAACCAATTGCTGTTTCTCTCTCACATTAATGTTTCTCCTCTTTCTACCTCCCTTCCCTCTCTAAAAATAAATAAACAAAACCTTTTAAATAAGAACAATAGGGCACGTAGACACCTGTGCCACTTGGACCCCCAGAGACTAACCCACGAGGCACGCAAGAGTGTACTGGGACGGCGCCATTGTGGAGTAGTCTGCAGCAGAGAAAAATGCTGCCATTTGTATAAAAAGACTAAAACAAGGAGGAGGGGAGAAATGAATACACATGCATGAGCATCAAAGCACATTGGCTGTCTACAGGGGTAAATACAAAGAGCCAGGGGGAGGAGAACATTTTCCTGTTCACCCTTTTTTACCTTCAAAATTATTCCTGACAAATCAGAATAAAAATTAGAGTGGGAAGAAAAATCCATGTGGAGTGGTAATGAGGGACAAGTGAGGGCGAAGAGACCCTCGGTCACCAGGTGTGAGTAGAGGAACCATTTGGGGGAAGCTGCTGAGGTGAATGGGCCTGGGGGAGCAGTCAGCAGGAGGCTGGACCTTCGAGGTGGGGGCTCTGGGGAGTGGCAGCAGCTCGCCACAGGCAGAGGGTCCGGGAGGATGTGCAGGTGCAGCCCAGGTTCCCGGGAAGTGAGGCCCCGTGAGTCAGGGCCTGGGCCTCGCACTCTAGAACTGGCGAGTCATGGGCCAGAGCAGGACGGCTACCTTTGTGCCCCCAGAGCCCCTCTCCCCTTCTGTCTTCTTTCCTGACATGTGTCACCGTCGATTTCTTTTGCATCTGGGCACATTTGCCTACGGTATGAGTTCTTTGGGAACTTTTTTTTATAAGATTGATTTTTTAAATTTATTTTGTATTTTTTAAATATTTTATTTATTTTTTTTTTAGAGAGGGAAAGGAGGGAGAGAGAGAGAGAATGAGAGAAACATCAATGTGTGGTTGCTGGGGGTCATGGCCTGCAACCCAGGCATGTGCCCTGACTGGGAATCAAACCTGCGATGCTTTGGTTCACAGCCCATGCTCAATCCACTGAGCTACGCCAGCCAGGGCAAAACTTTTTAAAAAAGATTTTATTTATTCAGCCCTGATTGGCGTGGCTCAGTGGACTGAGCGCCGGCCTGTGAATCGAGAGGCCACCGGTCAAATGCCGATCAATCGCCGCTCACACACTCCCGAACGGGAACCTGGCTTCCAACACGGTCATGTGCCCTGAGTGGGAATGGAACCCAGGACATTTTGGTCTAGACTGGAGGACCAAAAGGCAGGATCTTTTCGTTGCTCTTCCTTTTTCTCCCTACCTTGTTCTTTTTTAAAAGTTTATTTATTTTTAGACAGAGGGAAAGGGAAGGAGAAAGAAAGGGAGAGAAACATCAGCGTGTGGTTGCCTCTTGCACACCCCCAACTGGGGACCTGGCCTGCAGCCCAGGCATGTGCCCTGACTGGGAATCAAACCGGCAACCCTTTGGTTCTCAGGCCAGCACCGAATCCACTGAGCCACACCAGTCAGGGCCCTACCTTGTTTTTTATTTATTAAAATAATTGGGGTATTGGTCCTGCACAATTTGTACTGGCTGGATCCGGCTAGTCGCATGCCTGTGGTACAGGTTCCCAGTTTTCTTGTAGACTGAAGGGTGGATTCTAGATTCTAAACAGGTTTAATTCTGTACCCTAAGCCCTCCTGTGGCTCCCCATTGCCCTCAGGACCAAAACCCAGACCTGTCCTCACAGGGCCACCAGGCTCAGGGGTCTGCCCCCTCCCCCCCACCTCTACCTCTGTTCTCCCTGCCCCCTCATCTCCCTGCTCTGGCCACTCTGGATGTTGTTGGCTGTTCCCTCTTCCTGGCACACTGTTCCTGCTTTTGCAGCTTGCCAGTCCCTAGCCCAGAGGCTCCTTTTCCCCACCTGCTGGGTGAGGGAGGGGTCCATCTTGGTCATTGCTGGGTCCGCAGAGCCCTGAAGCGGCCGTGTCTGTTAAATGAATAAGTCCTAAAAGGCAAAAGGGGTGGCGTTGACGTCCTAATTTTAGAGATGAGTAAACTGAGGCACCCAGCTGGTGCTCCGGGGGCCTCACTTTAATGAACGACTGGAAGGGGGCCGGTGGAAGCAAAGTCGCCATGGGTGTCGAGTGGAGGAGGAGTATGGCTCATTTCATCTTTCCACTGCCCCGGGAACGGACATCCCTTTCCGCCCCTCTTACCCAAGCCCCAGTTTCCCATTCCCCGGGGCTGGGTGCCCCGCTATGCCCGCACCCTAGGTTTGTGGCCACCGTCCCCTCACTCTCCACCTCAGTTTCTCCTTAGGTCCCCCGAAGGCTGGGTACCCACTCCAACCGCAGCCCGGGGTCTGGCCGCCTTCCTGGAGGCAGTCCCCGCCCCGCGCGGCCAGCCTCCTAGATCCGCCCCGGCCCGCCTCTGGGCGTCCGTCACTTCCTGCCCGGTCCAGAGAAGGCCTTGCCACCTGGCCGCGGCGACAGCGACATTTGAGCTATGGTCGCTCTGGAGAACCCCGAGGGCTGCTCAGAGGAGGTGGCGGCGACCGCAGGGGTCATTCCGGGCAGGCGCCAGACGCAGTGAGCGCGGTGGGGCGGGCGGGCGCGCCACCGCCACCGGGGCTCTGGGGCTCCCTCCCCTCGGGGTCCTCCCCAGCTGCAGCCCCGGGCCCGCCCCGCCTCCATGACAGCCCCTAGACGTGGGAAGGGGTGGGGGTCTTATTGTTACCCCGTGTTTACCTGGAGAAATCCCATCCCGACACACCCGGATATTTGCTGGGGTGGAGGGGGCACATCTCGATTGTGGGTTTAAGGACCCCGGCGGCCCTGGAGTCTCGGGTACTGGACCATCTTGGGGTCCTGTGAGCCTTTTACTGCTTGGGTGAGGCGGCCGCTGTGTGGTGTCCCTAGAGCTTTTATCCACGCGCAGTCGTCCTTTCCCAGGCTGGGTAGTCACCCCACAGCTAGGGCTGGATCCCCGGCTGAGTTATCCGCTCCCCCACCCCCGAGTTTACATGGCTGTGGTTTACCTGTGGCTACATACTCAGATTAACGGGGGCGGGGGTGGGAGCGGATATCTTAAAACCTGGTCAACCCGAGCCTCTCTGTTCAGGAGGGAGGCATGAAGCAGGTAGAGAGACCCTATATGGGTGTAGACCCCCCAATATGACTGTGGGTCGTTTGGGTCTCAGATTCTCTCTGAACCCTGGTGTTGCAGAAACCTGAATGTTCTGCCCTTCTGAGCCTCAGTTTCCCCACTTGTGAAGTGTGATAATAACAGTGGCTTCTTCTCAGAGTGGCTGGGGGATCAGTGACGCTGTGCCCCCTGAGGTGCCCAGCACTGGAGTGTCCATTCTTTAATTATCTTAAACATCTTTATTATTTTTAAAGGATTTTATAATTTCATCATTATTATTGTTGTTGTTATTTATTTTAAAGATTTCATTTATTTAGACAAAGGGGAAGGTAGGGAGAGGAGAGGAAAAGAGAGATTGATGTGAGACAGAAACATGAATTGGTTGCCTCTCAAATGGGCTCCAACAAGGGACCAACCCTGTGACCCAGGCATGCACCCTGATGGGAATTGAACCCACAACCTTTTGTTTTGAGGATGATGCCCAACAAACTGAGCCACACTGGCCAGGGCTATTGTACTTTATTATTCCCTAATGTTATCTTCTCTGGGCACTTACCAGAGACCTGCTGGTCTCTACAGATGTGCGTACCTACCAGAAAGAGACAATACCTCTTTTAAGAGACCTCAACCACCCAGAGTGGGTATCTGCCTGCCTGGTTCCTTTCACCCAAACAGGGTGCCCCCCTCCAAGTCTTGGGGGGTGCGGCCACTTCTGCATGGGGGATTCAGCTGGCCCCACCCAGCCTGAGTCACCTCTGCCCTGAGCCCTTTGGGTTCCTGCCAGGGAAGTAGGTTCCTCTCTTGCCTGCTTCTGGGGGAGGGGACAGGTCAGAGAAGGTGATTTTTCCTCAGGGCAGCGGGTGTCAAAATTCCCCATTTCAGGGAGCAGAATTGGGGGCACTGGAATCTGGTCCCCCAAAACCCAACCTGACTTAGCAGCTGTTCACCACTGGGCCTGTTCAAGAAGCCTCAGGTGCCCCTCTGGGTTCTCAATTTCCCAATCTGCAAAGGGGAGGATCTGCACTGGACATGTAAACAAGCAGCTGTTGAACACCTGCTGTGGGTCTGGTATTGGGGACACAGGAGAGACCCATGAGACCTCATCCTGTGTCCTCTTCACACAGGAAGGTGAAGATTAAGGAATAAACACGTGCATGGATTAGCTGATTTTGGGTGTCAACTGGTGAAACAGGCAAACTGGGTTGTTTGGGCCAGTGGGGGGCGGGGCAGTTTTCCGGGAGGGAGGTGACGTTTGAGCAGAGGCCAAAAGGAGCTGAGAAAGGGTGCTCCAGGCAGAGGGCTCAGTGTGTGCAAGGGTCGTGAGGTGGGTCATTGCTGGCTAGTCTGAGGCACATGAAAAGACCCATGTGGCCGGAGCAGAGGAGGCCCTCAGGGTAGAGATGAGGTCAGGCATCGATGTTTTGCCATGTAGAGATATTTTATATAAAGTTTATACTGATATCCAACACCCTCCCCCAGCCTTTATTGCAAATTGACTTGCTAGGTAATTGTGCTCTGCTCCCTCTATGCCCCGTCCTCTCTGTGTCTTGAGTGGGGATTGGGGCAGGGGGCCACTGTCTAGGCCACGTGTTTCTTATCTCCTGCTGGAATCTGGTTGAAGTCAGCAAACTTGAATCGACTGTGGACTCCCTTTTCAGTGCTCAGCTCAGTGCTTGAGGCCCACAAGAGGGTAAAACGCCCCCTTAGTGCCTTTGGGCCCAGGCACAGACCATGTGGTCTGAGTTCAGGACAGGCAGGGCTTCCAATGCCAGGTCAAGGGAGGGCTGGTCCTTGTCCTGAGGGTGCTGGGGAGCCATGGGTGGTAGTGGAGCAGGGAAGATACCAGTTGGGTCTTAGCTACATGGACTTTGGTCTGGGGAGCCCACTGCAGATTTCTGTGGACCCACGAATGAAGCAGGAGGGAGGTTTCCTCCTGTTGGGGGGCGTGGTCCTGTTCAGACTCAGATTCAAATCTTAGCTCTGCTCCTTCCTTGGTGGTGCCAAGAAGCCCCATTTCTTAGAGCCCCGTGCCCTGGGGGCTGGAGCTCTCTCACTGGGTCCTGCCCTGCTCTGACGCCCCCTGACAGCTCTCCCCGGATGTGGCTTCTGTTATCGGCCCAACCAGGCTTTCATCCTGGACTCTGTCCAGCTCCTGGAGTAGAGACATAGGCACTGGAGCCCCAGGGAGGCCATGAATGAATCTGGGGTTTGGGGTGGAGGGGTGTTTGGGCCTCTGGAAGGCAACTCTCAGGTTGGATCCTGTGCTGACTTCATATGTGAACATTCAACCCAAGGATGTTGCTATGATCATTGGTGTGACTGAGGAGGTGAGCTTTCCATCCCAGGAGGAAATCAAACAGATGGGGGCTGGGTTGCCAGGGTAGGGTGCCTGTCCCAGCTTCTCTTGGTTTTGAGTGCCCTTTCCCAGACTTAAAGCACTCAAAGGGATTTTCTGGGACATCTGATCCAGCAGTTAATTTTCTGAGCAGCTACTGCGTGCCAGGCATGGCTATGAGTGCCCACGTGGAAGTTATGACCTAGTGGGAGAGGAGAGCAGTCATCAGTGGAGCAGAATGTTCAGTGGTCAGAAAGCCAAAGGAGTAGACAGAAGAGGTTGCGGTTTCACTGAGCAGATTTCAACAGAAGCCAAAAGGAAGTGAACCAGTGAGCCCTTCAGAGTTTAGGGGATTGTCATCAGGTAGAGGGCACAGCCAGTGCAAAGGTGCAGAGGTGGGACTGTGTCCGACTTACTAGAGGAGGAGCCGGAGACGACTGGAGTAGAATGAATGAGGGGAAGGGAGTTAGGACACGGGTTGGGGAATCTCGGCACCCCACACCCTTTAAGGGCCGGAATCCACCATCACCCCACAGTGTGAGGGTTTCTGGGCCCAGTGGGGACCATTCTGTGGTCTATATGAGTCTGGTGGGGACCATCCTATGGTTTGGGATTGTCAGGGGCTGACCAGGAAGGCCCAGCAACTTCTCCTTGTCAGGAAGTTTTCATCTAAGAGTCCCCTGCTGCTCCCTGACACCTGGCCAGTGAGTGCCCAGCAGGAGGCTTGGTGGCACTGCTAATCCATCTCTGTACTTAATGCCACTTGCTCTGAGGAGGGCAGATTAACGGAGATTAACGGGGTGTGGGGGGAGGCACTCCAGCCCCTTCCCTGCTTGTGGCAGCTGGGCTCAGGTGAATCATGTCTTTGAGAAACTCCCGGAGGATGGTGGTGTTCAAATTCCATGCACTCTGGGCCTCACTGGCTAGCAGCTAACATCTGGAAGCCTGGGGGAGGGGGGAACTGCTTTTCTCGGCTACCCACCCAATGTGTGAATTCAGGCAAGGGTTTGCTCTGAGCCGCAGCTTACTGATCTGTCATCATGATTATGCCTGCCTTTCGGGTGATGTGACAATGAAATTGTAATGGTCCAGAGCTACACACATGGCAGAGGGTGAGCTCCCTGCTGCAGAGGGAAACCAAGCAGGTGATGGTTATGGTAAAATGGCAGTGGTTGGGATCTGCCTGGGGATCTTGGCCCTGAGGACTGCCCCCCATTCCCAAACCCCCACCCACAGACACCTTGCAGGATGCTTGCCCACTCTAGCTGGCTCCCAGGTGAAGAGGTTCTCAGCCTCCAAGCGGAAGCAGCACTTCATCAACCAGGCTGTGCGGAACTCAGACCTTGTGCCCAAGGCCAAGGGGCGGAAGAGCCTCCAGCGCTTGGAGAACAGTGAGTGAGCAGGGGTCAGGACACCTCCTGGTGGTTCCTAGGCCTCAGACGAGAATGGTGTGCATGTTGAAAGTATCTGTTGTCCTTACCATGAGCCTGGCCCTGAGCTGGGCAATGCTGGAGCAGGACCAGAGGGAGTTTTGGGCATTGGAGCTTGGGCTTTAAAGAGTGTGTAGAAGTTCAACAAGGCAGGGAGAGGTAGGAGGAGTTCTGGAGGCAGGATGGTTTCTATGCCTTCTGGGAAAGACAGCTGGAGTGTGGAGGTGGGGAGGCTGGTATAAGCCAGAGAATAAAGACCATAAACACAGAAGGATGGGGAGGAAAGATGTTCCACCAGTATCTGTGGAGCCTGGGGGGCCCCAAATGCCACACCCCAGCCCAGAGACCATCTCTTTCCCTGTAGCCCAGTACCTTCTGACCCTGCTGGAGACAGACGGGGGCACACTTGGTCCGGAGGATGGGGACCTGGCACCCCCCGCAGCACCCGGCATCTTTGCAGAGGCCTGCAACAATGAGACCTATGTAGAGGTGAGACCCCTTCCCCCTTCGCTGGCTCCATCTACTCCAGCCACACTGGCCTCTGCATTTCTGTTCTGGCTCTCAGTACCAGGCATTGCCTGTGGTAGTGCCTCTGCCAGGAGTATCTGCCCACCTCTGGTCCCATGACGAATGCCCCTTCAATTTCCTTCGGGGTCCCCAGACAAGGCCAGAACCTTCCAGCACCCATGATTCATCTACTCATATACATAGAAACCCCTCCCCAGAGGAGCAGGTCCTCAGTGACCCATGAGCAAATGGTGGGTCCAGTGGGCAAAGGCGTCCACAAGGAGTATTTCCATGCACTTTGTGACCCCCGTGTACATTGGCCAGATGGGGAAACTGAGGCCCAGAAACTAACTGTCATTAGCTCAGGGCCTGCCTGCCTCTGTTCCAGGTCTGGAATGACTTCATGAACCGCTCTGGGGAGGAGCAGGAGCGGGTCCTTCAGTACCTGGAGGATGAGGGCAAGAGCAAGGCGCGGAGGAGGGGGCCTAACCGGGGGGAGGACCGGAGGAGAGGTGCGGCCTGCATGGGGTGGACAGGGGGCCAGGCAGGTGGACTGGGGGCTGGCCTAGTATGTGGGGTGGGCTGGGGTCAGGTGGGGAGGAGCCTGGCAGGGGCAGGCAGGCGGTTTGCTTTAGCTGCTGCCCTAAGCCTTGGACTCTTGCAGAAGACCCTGCTTACACCCCCGGAGAATGCTTCCAGCGCATCAGCAAGCGCCTTCGAGCTGTTCTCAAGCGGAGTCGCATCCCCATGGTGAGTACCAGGCTGGGGCTATCTCTTCCCATCTGCCTGTTTCAACTTTTCAATTGGGGGTGGTGTGAGGGGACACCAGTTACTTAATATGCGTGCTGTGATGGAGACAGGGTGGGACACACACCATTGTGATCAGAATGCAGGACCCAGGGCTGGTCAAGGGCTCTCCCGAGGGTGGGAGGATCAGGGGTAGTGAAGGTGGACCCTTGCAGGATGTGTAGGAGTTCACCAGGCAGAAACTGCAGGCATTCAAAAGTATGGGGATTTCTAAGTGCCTGGAATCCTTGGAACCAGTTAAGTAGCCTTATGATGTGGGTCAGAGGCCACATTTGAATGCAGGGCTTTGAGCTCCAGAGGCTGTCCTGGACACGGGGGAACCTAGATAGCCCACCCAAGATCCCAAAGTCAGCCTGAACCGTGGGTCTATCTCTCCTGCAGGAAACGCTGGAGATCTGGGAGGAGCGGCTGCTGAGGTTCTTTTCCGTGTCCCCCCAGGCTGTGTACACAGCCATGCTGGACAACAGGTGACGGGTGGGGGCAAGCGCGGCGAGCTCTTGGGTGGCTGGTTCCAGCCCATGGCCACTCACTGCTCATTCCTCCACAGCTTTGAGAGGCTCCTGCTCCACGCTGTCTGCCAGTACATGGACCTCATCTCAGCCAGTAAGTGCCTGGCAGCCCCAGGACCCTCCCAGTGAGCCAATTCTGCCCAAGGAAACCGAGGCTACATGGGGTTTGCCTTCTCAGCGGGAGGCTTCTGGGAGTGGGGTGGGGGTAGGGGACAGCTTGAGCAAAGCTGTGGTAGTGGGGTGCTGTGTTTATTCCTCAGAGGTTCCTGTGCAATGCTGTGTACACAGACTGCCCCCACCCATACCCTCAGGGCCAGGGGGAAAGAAGGGCTTATACGGGGTGATGAAGCTGAGCCTCAAGGGGCCCCAATATAAGATGAGGGGATCCCAGTGCCCGCAGATTCCTCATTTAGCCATAGTGCCTTCCACTGTGCCACACATGATTTCTGGCAAGCACCCCCTCCCAGGGCCTGTGTCCCCACTTACAAAGGGAGTGGTCTCGGGACACAGCCCTATAGAGAGGGTGCTTGCAAGCCACTGCTGGCTCTGGGCACCCCACTGAGCCCTCACTCCCCACACCTGGCTTTCTGCCTCTCTCCATTTCCTGCTCAGAGTTTCTGAGGAGACCGTTCCCATGGCAACCCAGGATGGTTCATCCCTTGGTGGGAGGGCAGCAAGCAGCCCTCATGCTTGCCTTTGTTTCCATAGATTCAGGATGGAACGGGGAGGGCGGGTGCAGGGGGGATGCTTCTCTGCTGGAGTCCAGCGGTTGCCTGAACACAGAGGAGGACAGGCCCTGGCAAAATGGGGAGCAGGGGTGAGGGAACAGCTGTGCAGAAGCCTCCAGGTGGGACGGAGCTTCAGAGTCAGCCCTAGGGCAGCGGGGGAAGGAGGAGACCAGGAAGGAGGCAGGATACTTGTTCCGGGCCAGGAGTTTCTCAGGGCATCCTTCTGAACACGGGATAAGGAACAGAAAGGATGAAACGGGTTGCAGAGGGAGGTTCTCATGGAGCTAGAGCTGTTCTCTTGAGCCCAGCACGGTCAGCCAGACCCCAAGTGCCAGCTTGCCGAGACCTCCAGCAGGAAGAGCCAAGGGCACAGCCCCTATGTGCGCCATGACTCTTGCATTCCTTTCATTTTTGCCCCACTGGTCACTCTTACAGGTGCCAACCTGGAGGGCAAGAGGCAGATGAAGGTCAGCAATCGGCACCTGGACTTCCTTCCCCCTGGGCTGCTTCTGTCCGCTTACCTGGAGCAACGCAGCTGATGGCAGCCCACCTGCCCCCCTTTCCTGTCAAGACTTCCTATACCACCCACTAAAATGTTTGTTATTTTTAGAATTTGTCCTTGGAAACATGCTCTCCCTCATGGGGTGGCACTCTCACCCTGGCCCCATCCTATCCCAGCTCTTCCAGGTAAATGCTGGTAGCTGGAGCTGCCCCAGACTATGTCAGGCCCATAGCTTTCTGCTCTGGGACTTGTATTTGGATGGGGAGACCTGGCCTGTTCACTTCCATGTTCCTTTTTGGGTCGGCTTTTTAGCCCAGTGTGAAGCTTAAGCAAGGAGGACTTCTAGGGTTTTTTGTTTTTTGTGTTTTTTTTTAATTTTTTAAATCACTTTTAATGAATTCGGCATGATAGGTAGATTTTTAAATTTCCCTTTTGGGAAGAAAAACCAAATACTTGCCCCAACTGATAAATCGGGGAGACTTGTTTTATCCTCTGTTTGACCTCCCTCCCAATTTTTGGCTAGAATTGGGGGGTCTCTGGGGTGCTGCCCTCACCCCAGGAGCATTACGTATTGTGAGTGTGTGTGTGCATGCGTATACACACCGATGTCCTGTGACCCAGGACAGAAGCTGTGTCTTACTGGCTGGTTTTACCCTCATTTTGGAATGTGTGTTTTCCTCCCCTGGTGTCTTTGGGTGGCTCTTGGGGCCCTGCCTGCTCTACAACCCCTCTCCCCAATTTTTCTCCCTTCTCTTCATCCTGGGGGTCCGGGACTTCCAGCCAGAAGCCTCTGCCCTCTCACTACCACGCTCCCCTCTTCATGTCTCTTCACCTCCCACCACCCCAAGCCTGACTCTGGCCTGTTGCTTTGGGGTATCCCTATGCTGGTCACCCTGACCTGGGCCATAAGAGCAGGGTTGTGGGACTCCCTACCTTTACTCCCGTATGTGTGGCTAGTTGTACTTTGGGAAAAGTGGAGAATTCAATAAATTTCTGGTGCTCTGGTCTCCAGGTGTGGAGTTTTCTTTTGGGGCAGGGCTGGGGGCAAGATAGGTGCTCAGGATGTGCCCAGGCCCTGGTCACGGAGGGGCAAGGGCTTGGAGGAGGGCCTCCACACTGAGTGACACCCTGAGGGGGGAGGCACTTGATGAGACTGCCAGGCACATCTGCTGTTGGCTTTGCTGCCCTGGGCCCTGCTGGGTGCCCAGGCTCAAACATGAGTTCTGCCACTCCTCAGCTGCATGACCTCCAAAAAGTCACGTGAAGTTTCTGGGGGAGCTGCACAAAACACCGCACACTGCAGTAAAATCACCCACACTCAGGCTGAAAGCAGCGGGGGTTTACTGTCTCCCAGTTCTGAAGGCCAGAAGTCCAAATTTAAAAGTGACGCAAGCTCTTGCTTCCCACCTCTCCTAGCCCCTCACATCTCCTAGCCTCCCACCTCTCCTAGCCCCTAGTGGCTCCCGTGTCCCTTAGCTCCACCTCCCTGAGGGCAGAGAGTTAATTATGGGGAGGACTGCAGAGGAGTTCTCTTTACCCATGTGAATTTACTCAGTCATTTATACCAGTGTGAAGGCATGTGTATTTACTTCCTACTTTGGGTTATAATGCAGTGTTACTTGATTTTGTTGCAGAAATGTTTTCAGGTTTGGCTGCTCTCAGTGGAGTCCTGTGTCTCTTTAGGGACCCCCATCATTGTGAGGTTTTCATTTCTTGAGCAACAGGGTCCTGACTTTCTGCGGTTACATGATGCTTGGGCTGGGCTGATGTATTTCTCCAAGAAGCCCAGTTTCTTTTATCGGGGTACCGTGTTAGAAACCAGTGGGCACTGGGACACTGCATTCCATTTTAACGTGTTTAGTTTTAAAGGTAGACGCTAAATAATGGAAATCCAAATGGCAAGTAATGAGGACAAAAGGAGATATTTGAGTAACAAGCTTGGAGGCTCCCATTTGTAAAGGGGATCCAACCCCAGGTTCCCAGAGGACAGGACTGGGCCTCAGGGAGGGCGGCTGTGTGGGGTCCTTCTTGCTCCTCTTCCTCAGCTCGGTTCCCAGGCTGCCGGGTCTTCAGGCCTTTGTCCAGGTGATGCCTTCCGCCTGGTCACCCTCCCCTGAAATCCCAGGAGGCCGTCCTACAGAAGACCCTCCAAATTGGGGAGAGCGTAGCACCTAGTAGGAACAGCAGCTTTCGGAGAAGTTGGGGAAGGTGTGGAAATCCGGAATGTTGGATAAGTTACCTCACCTATCAGCACCTGCCTGCCCACCTATAAACAATACAAAAGTATGCAAATACAGAATGGAACCAACTTGTATAGGAGGAGTTGAGAATGGGCTTTGAGGTTGGGACAGCCCTGGACTGAGCAAGGCACTTTCTCACCCAATCTCAGTTCCCTACCCACGGATTTTAGAAAAACAAAATGTGGGACACACATCTCGCGAATTTACGTGTTATCCTCGCGCAGGTGACACGCTAACCTTTTTATCATCCTACTTCGGACTGATGCGTTACAAAAAGGAACCCAAGTTAGGTGGATGAGTCTAGACCCTGGCGTTACTTAGAGAATATATAAATACTTTCATTAAGGGTGAATTACGTTACAAAGGTTTAGCAACCCATCTTTACATGACAGTGCAGCACACAGCGTAACCAAATGGGGTAGTTCATTGGGGCTGAAAAAATACGAAAAAATACCTGTTACTCTAACAAATAAAACTCAGGTAACAGCTAAGAGTCTATCACGCTCACACAAACAAGTCCGGAAGTGGGGCGGGGCCGGAGCCCCAGCCGCTGCCGTCCCAGAAGTCTCTGGGAAGCGTTCGCGCTGCGCGGGAGACTCAATGGTCTTAGGGAAGATGGCGGCGCTGGAGTCGGGGTGTTAGAGGGAGTGCGGTCTGCGGCCGCGGCGCACGAGCCGACCAGGTAAACGAAGGGATACAAGGGTTCCGGGGGGTCAGCCAGCCTCCCGGTGACCCCGGGGGGCGGGGGAGGGGATGCGTCCCAGAGAAGGCGGGGACTGGCGACCCCGGGGCGGGGCCTGTGAGGTCAGAGGGCGGGCCTAGAAAGCAAAGGGTGCTGGGTACACTGCCTGGAGCTCTGGGCGTGGTCTGGGAGTGGGTGGTGGAAACGGGTTCTCCAGCAGGGGGAAATCGCGGCGGGGCCTAGGGCTTTCCACCCGGGGCGGGTTTAGGGCGGAGTTTGAGGTTGTGGGGGACTTGGGGGAGGGACGTAGAGATTGCGTGGGGTCCTTGGTTTGGGGCTTGGAGTCTCTAGAGGACCTGGAGGGCCAGGTTGTCGGGGAGGGGTCTGGAAAGCAAACGGTGTTAAGGGCGGGGCCGGAGGGCTTTGGGAACAGGCCTAGAGATTGTTTGGGGTCTCTGAAGTGAAGCTTGTTAGTTTAGTCTGGGCCTGGAGGCTCGAGAGGCAAATTGAGAGCAAGGTCTGGAAAGCAAAGACTGAAGGGGATGGGAAAGGAGTGCTTTGGGGAGTTGTGGGCGGGGCTTTGGTATTCTCGGGTAGGATCTGAAGAATTGGGGATGTGAGGGTAGAGGTAGTGACTGAGAAAATGGAGTTGATCGTACCAACAACCTCACTGGGCTTTTGCAGTAGTGAAAGATAACCTGTAATCCATGCCAGGCACTGAGCCCTGAGGAAGGATTCACTCTTACTGTTATTCTTCACCATTCGTAAGTCCCACACCAAGACCCAAACTGCTAACTTCCCCAACCTGTCTCCCCAACTCAGCCCTTCCTAAAGGAGAGACCCAAGGTCCAACCTCTTCTCACAGTTTCCACTTCTCATTCTCCTCACCCGCCTCCCAGGTGCATTCTCCAGACAGCAGAGGGGTCCTGTCAAAACACAAATAAGTCACAGCCCTCCTGGGGCTCTTACTCTTTTGTCACCAAGGGTGGAAGCCCACAGGAACCTGCACGACCTGCCCTTACCCCGCCCTTACGTCAATCACTGGACCGCTTCTTAAACACCCCAGGCTAGACCCACCTTCTGTGCCTTCGCACCGGCTGTCCCCTCCCCCAGCAGTGCTCCTCCCCAGACATCTGTGTGCCTCAGCGCATTCTCTTGCACCTTTGCTCAAATGTTTTCTCCCCAATGAGGCCTCTCTGGCTCTGTGTTTAAAACGCAGCCCTCCCCCTCACACACATACAAGACCCAAGGGCAGGAATTGGGTGCTTTTCATTTCTCTTGATGACCCAGCATCCAGCATGGCATTCAGCACCCTGCAGGCACTTGGTGAAGGTGAGCCAATCCTCCCTGTCACTTCCTCCTTCAGGTGGTCATTCTCTTCCTCAGGTGACTGTCCTTGGTGTGTGACCTGTGGCAGGTGGGCTCAATGGATCTGGCTTATGTCTGCGAGTGGGAGAAGTGGCCCAAGAGCACACACTGTCCATCAGTACCCCTGGCATGTGCCTGGTCCTGCCGCAACCTCATCGCTTTCACCACGGACCTCCGGAATGATGACCAGGGTGCACCCCTTTACCTCCAGTCCAACCCCCATTCCCTCCCGTCTTGTTCCCCTCCCCTCCCCACACAGTGTTATACCCCTGGCTCCATGGTGCCTGGCACATTGCCGTGGGGAGACACCAGGTTTCCAGGCCTGGGTGGGAGCCATCTCCCACCTCATTCATATCTGGGGGGTGGTGAAGGCCCCAACCTTTCAGGGTGCAAAAGACAGATGCATTTAACTGGTGGCTGCTGTCCTCAGTGAGCCACCCAAATGGGTGGCGGCTGCTGTGATGGTGCTCTCCCACACCTGGTGCCTGGGGGATGCTGGGATGACCCCTGTGTGGTGGAGGGGGTAAAGGTGGGCATTCCACTCAGGCTTGTTGGGGAGACTTGTGCCTCAGTTTCCAGACCTGACATGGCACTTTTGACTTTTGAAAGCCTCTAAGGTTCATCGCCACCAGCCATCTTCTCTCCAACGTTTGAGTGATGTGCATTCATTAGAGAAAATTAGAGAAGCACAGAAATTTAGGATAAAGAGAACCACCTATTATCTTCTGCGAAGAGAAGCCCCCTGTTTGCATTTTCTTCCGATTCTGTTTTCTGGGTTGTAGACACACTGGCGGCGGCTCGCAGGCCTGCTCTGTGTTCCCCGGGGAACGCAAGCCTGTTCGTCGTTAGCACCTGGGCTGTCGATGTGGTCGGCAGCATCTCCATGACTTCCCTGTGGGTGGGACATATACTGGGTTCCTCCCTGAGTCCCCTTGGAGTCTTTAGGGCTATGTCATTGTCATTGTGCTGACTGTCCTCCGTCCCCTGTAGACCTGACCCGCCTGATCCACATCCTGGACACAGAGCACCCCTGGGACGTGCACTCCATCAGCTCAGAGCACAGCGAGGCCATCACCTGCCTTGAGTGGGACCAGTCAGGTGAGGGTGGGGTCGACAGGCTCAGTAGGGTCCTGTGTAGCCAAGGGCAACCATGGTGATGCTCATCCCAAATCCCAGGGGGATGTATTCTGTCTTTTCTTGGTCCTGTCCCCAAAGTCAGAGCTGGGACCCGAAACTTTGACTTAAGGCTTTGTGGCTAGTACTCTTCCTGTTCCCATGTTCAGAGCTATTTCTGCACCATGCCTTGTGGCACTCCTTTGCTCTTCCACCACTAGGCTGGCTCCTCCCAAGCTCTTGATGTGCTGTGGGTGATGATCCCTGCCCACGGTGGGGGTTTGTGATGCAGGTCTGCTTCCTGCAGGCTCCCGGCTCCTGTCAGCTGATGCTAATGGGCAGATCAAGTGCTGGAGCATGGCGGACCACCTGGCCAACAGCTGGGAGAGCCCTGTGGGAAGCCTGGTGGAGGGGGACCCCATCGTGGCCCTGTCTTGGCTACACAATGGTGTGAAGTTGGCACTGCATGTGGAAAAGGTGAGTGTCTGCCTGAGTGAGTAGGTGTGGTGGACGAGGCCATTCACTTTATCCGTCCACCTGCCACCTTGGCTCCTCCTCTCCTATCACCAGCATCTTCTAGCTTTTCGAGCCCTGGGCCTGGTTCACACCTTCTGGTTCAGTGATGAAACAGCACAGACAGAGCTCAGGAGTGTCCTGCTGAGTGGAAGGAGCCAGGCATAAAGGCAGCACATGGGTCCCACTCTGGTAGAATTCTAGAAAAGGCAAAACTAGTGATACCACTCGGGACCCAGGGTGGGGTCGGGTGGGGACTGACTGCTAAGGGGCATGAGGGCCCTTTAGAGGGGAGTGGATTCTGGTCACGATTTTTATGGTTTTCCATGACAACACGTTTGTTAAGACCCGTGGAACCATATGCCTAAAAAGAGCAAATTTTGTTTTGCACATAAATCATAACTTAAACCTAATTTTGAAACATGTAACAGTAATAGCAGCAGCCAGTACTTTCACGGCACCTCCTGAATTCTTAATACAGGGGTCTGCCCACCACAGCCTGCAGGCCAAATGCAGCCCCACCTGTTTCTGTGAACAGTTTCATCGGCAGCTGCTTCCACAGACTCAGACAAGGAGCAGGTGGTCACAGCAGGGGCCACCTGGCCCACAAACCTGAAAATAATGAGTGCCTGGCCCCTTACACGAGAAGGTTGCTGACTCCTGTCCTTCATGTATTCAGTCATTTGATCCTCACCATGGGTCTCTGAAGTACAGATGAGGAGACAGAGGGTCAGAGAGGCCCACGTCACACGGTGCTCAAGTAGCCAAGGCAGGATTTGAATTCAAGTCCGTGCTCTCGTAGCTTCTGCCTCATGGGTTGTCGGGTCACCGGAGGCTGACCCTTACAGCCAGACAGTGCATCTTTCTGCCTGTCCTCAGCGGGTGGCACCAGGACTAAGTAAGACCCCTTGCTCACTCTCCCACAGTCAGGCGCTTCCAGCTTCGGGGAGAAGTTCTCCCGTGTCAAGTTCTCACCATCCCTCACACTGTTTGGGGGCAAGCCCATGGAGGGCTGGATTGCGGTGACTGTCAGCGGCCTGGTCACCGTGTCCCTACTCAAGCCCAGCGGGCAGGTGCTGACATCGACGGAGAGCCTATGCCGGCTGCGTGGCCGAGTCGCCCTGGCAGACATCGCCTTCACGGGCGGTGGCAACATCGTGGTGGCCACGGCGGATGGCAGCAGCGCCTCTCCCGTGCAGTTCTACAAGGTGTGTGTGAGTGTGGTCAGTGAGAAGTGTCGCATCGACACCGAGATCCTGCCCTCGCTCTTCATGCGCTGCACCACCGACCTCAACCGCAAGGACAAGTTTCCCGCCATCACCCACCTCAAATTCCTGGCCCGTGACATGTCCGAGCAGGTGAGGTCACTGGGGATGCAGCCATGATGCAACACACTTTTCACCTTCAGTTCTGGCTGGGAGTCTGACTTGGGTCTCACGGGCTAACCCAGCTGCAGGCAGGGCTGGTCCTTTCAGAGGCTCCAGGGAGAAACATTTCTAGCCTTTTCCAGCTTCTAGAGGCGCTACATCCCTGGCTCGTGGTCCCTTCCTCCATCGTCACAGCCAGCAATGCAGCCTCTTCCACCTCTGACTCTGACCCTCCTGCATCCTCTTATGAGGACACTGGGACCCCGGAGAATCAGGGTCATCCCCATCTCAGAGTCTTTGACTTAATCTCACCTGCAGAACCCCTTTACTGTGTGAGGTGACATGTAAGCAGGTCCTGAAACCAAGATAGGGACATCTTGGGGGCTGCTGTTTAGCCGACCCCACTAGGTCACTATGGTTCCCATTGTAACTGCACAGCAGTAAGGCCCAAACGCCTGCCAAGGAGGGCACCACTGGTGTGGTGTGCGCTGTTCCGGCAGGGTGGCGGATGGGTAGACCTGGGTTCAAGTCCACAGTTGCTGTGAGGTTGGGGCCAAGTGTGAGCGACCCAGGAAACAGAGGTCCAGGAAGGGGAGGTGGCTGTATCAGGCAGGCCAGCACCCGAGCCTGGGTTAGCCCAAGTGCCCCCATGAGGTGTGGATGCCCAAAGTGCTGCCTCCTCATCAAGCTGCCCACTGTCCCCCCAGGTGCTGTTGTGCGCGTCCAACCAGACAAGCAGCATTGTGGAGTGCTGGTCCCTGCGGAAGGAAGGGCTTCCCGTGAACAACATTTTCCAGCAGATCTCTCCTGTGGGTGAGTTCCCTCCATGGGGCTGGGGCACTTGACTTTTGATTTGGGGAAACTGAGGCTCAAAGAGGCCCATAGTCACCAACAGGCAGCCCGACCACCTCCACCTGAAACCCCCTGTGGGAACATGGCTAGTGGAACAGCAGAGCCACAGTCGTGGTGTACGAGGCCAGCAGCTAGAGCCAGCTCAGCAGGGGGCGTGGGCTGCAGGGAGGCACTTAATCCTAAAAGCCATGGGTCTTTCAGAAACCCTGGTTGAGAGTGAGGAAACCAAGATTGCAGGGGTTAACTGAGTTTGCCAAGAACACGCCCACCAGCCCACCCTGCCTTCCTCATCCTTTCACCCATGGGGACCCCCTGTGTCCCTCAGGTTGGCCCCAAGACCAGCACACCCTCCTCTTTGACACAGACCCTGGGACGCACTGGCCTGACCTGAAGACAGTGGCAGGCTGGAAAAGCCATTAGTTTTCGTCCCCTGATGGTGGAGCTGTAGGGGGGAAGCCTTGCCCAGATACACAGATGCAGGTGTTTTCCCATCGAAAGAAAGCTCTGCTTTTTGCTGATTAGCGCTAATGGACCCTGGGGTGGTTGGATGCGCAGGGGGTTGCTAAGCAGAAGCCACTAATGAAGCTGCATCAAGAGGTCCCTTGCTGTGTCATTTGCTGCTCGAGGTGGTTACATAAGCTGCCATTGTGGCTACGGAGGAATTGACGTGAACAGGCACGTTGCCCTGTCCCAGGACAGGTATCCCGGGGAGCTTTTGGACAGTGGTGGGTGGCCCCACAGGGGGCAGGCAGGGCTGCATCGGGGCCTCGGGGTGTACCAGTCGGTGAAGGGAGGGTTTGAGTGGCTGGGCACAGTTCCTGCCCTGCAAGCCTTCCCTGGAACTGTGTGCTGGTTGTTACCTTTACATTTTGTAATATCTTCATGCCAGAGACTGAATTCCACTCTGACCTTTCTGGGCTTCAATTTCCCCTGGGAACAGCATTTGCCGAGACTCCCTTATGGGGTTTGCAGCAACTTTATTTATTTTAAAGATTTTATTTATTTTTAGAGAGAGGGGAAGGGAGGGAGAAAAAGAGGGAGAAAAACATCTGTGTGTGAGAGATACATTGATCAGTTGCCTCTTGTACATCCTGAACTAGGGACCTGGCCCGGAACCCAGACATGTGCACTGACTGGGAGTTAAACCGGTGACCTTTCAGTTCACAGGCTGGCAATCAGTCCCCTGAGCTACACCAGCCAGGGTGCAGCAAGTTTATAAACTATGAGGAAGCCCCTGGGGCACGCATCTGGACGCTGACGATGGCAGAAACGAGTCCTTTGACAGTCAGCTTCGCCATGTAACACATTAGCCCTAAACTCAGGCTCAAAACCACAGTTTGTATTATTCTGGACTAGGTCATCTGGCTGCACCTAGATGCTTGGTTCCATGTGCCTGCCGTTAGCCTCCCAGCTTGGGCTGCTGCCCACCAACCAGGCCCGTCCTCCCGTGGCACATGCCCTGCAACCCAGCCTGCTCCCCACAGCATCCCAGGCACAGGCACTATTGGATCCTCTGCTTACACCACAGTTCACCAGTGCCCACTGGCCATGCCTAGATTCACGGAAGTCACTCCATTTCTTGTTGGGTGCAAGAGGTTTCATCAACACGTGGGGGGTGTGAGTGCAGGGAGGGGATGCATCTTATCTGGTGGGGTCAGCTGGGGTCCCACTTAGGACCTCTTAGGTTGTAAGGGACAAACCCAACCCAAGCTGGCAAGTCACAAGGGAGTTTGGGTTTTGTGTGGCAGCAGGGTCAGGGGTAGCATCCCCCTTCTCATTACGTTGGCTCCAGCAAGTGGGTACCCACTGTTGCCAGCTGACACCTTCCTGGAAGATGCCTCTCCCCTGTCTCCAGGAAGTCCCAGGACTGGGTTCTCTTGGCCATCTTGGGTCATGTGCCTATCCTGTACCAACCAGCTGTCTGGGGTGTGATATGTTGAGTGGCCAGGGCTGAGGTGGAGCCCCTGGTGGAGGGCAGGTGCTGGGATCAGAGAAGGGGTCTTGGCCATTGTCCCCTTTAGGGCCCATCATTGTGGTGCCTGTCTTCATTCCATTGCTGTCCTGTGTCCCTGCCCTATGTTTAGTTGGTGACAAGCAGCCCATGATTCTCAAGTGGCGGATCTTGTCGGCCACCAATGACCTGGACCGAGTTTCTGCTGTGGCACTGCCCAAGCTGCCTATCTCACTCACCAACACGGACCTGAAGGTGGCCAGCGACACGCAGTTCTACCCCGGCCTCGGTATGGTGGGCTTGGAGCTGGGGTCTTAGGTCTTAGAGCCATGGGAGCTGCCTCCTAGTCTGGAGTCAGTACCCGACGAGGAGGTGGCTTTGCTTTCAGGACCCAACCAGCTCATAGAGCTTTGAGGCTCTCCACTTTCAGGATCTGAAAAGCTGCATCTTTAATATGTAAAGAGCTGTTAGAAACCAATAAGGCAGAGGTTGGAAACTTGAGGGTAAACTCTCCAGATAAGCAGTGCCCTTTGTTGTAGCAGCTGAGACATTGATCCTGGTTCAGTCCCTGGAGACTTTGACTGTGAGTGAGTCAGGCTGGAAGCGCTGGGATGGCTAACAGTCAGCCCCAATAGTGCTACATGTTCATCACAGCTTTGGGCTCGAGGAGTCTATAAATTACCTGACTTGTGTTCCTGCCATGAGGCCCTTTGTGTGCTCCTGTCCCCTCCCACCTGGTCCCCCTGGAAGCTGTATTTGCTCACATCAGCCGAAACATAGAGTCAGCTGCACAGCCTCTGGGGATATGCAGCCTGAGCTGGTGGCACCTCGCTCTGCTGATTCTGGTGGCCTGTTAGCAAAGGAGGAGGGGATAGCGGCTGTGGGGGCGGCTGGCCAGACATGGGGTGGTGGGCTGTTTGTGTCTTGGGGCTCACCCATCCCCAGGGTAGTCACTTTGCATTGTCCAGAGCTAGGCAGCCCCACAGCCACCAGTGGGCATATTCCAGGCCTTTCCTGACCCTGCATGTGCCCCTCCCCTAGGGCTAGCCTTGGCCTTCCACGATGGCAGCGTCCACATTGTGCACCGGCTGTCACTGCAGACCATGGCCATATTCTACAGCTCCACAGCTCCACGCTCCATGGATGAGCCAGCCATTAAGCGCCCCCGGACCACGGGCCCTGCCGTTCACTTCAAGGCCATGCAGCTGTCCTGGACCTCCTTGGCCCTTGTAGGCATTGACAACCACGGGAAGGTAAGCACTGCCCCAGGTGCTCCAGAGCTACCCCTCAGTGTTTATGGGGGAGCAACCCACTCCATCCTCGGCTGCCCTGGGGCAAATGGGCTCTGTCTGGTGCATGCCTGTCACTTGTGTTTTTTGGCTTCCAGCAGAATCCTGGTCCATTTCCTCACTACAGGTGTATGGGCCTTGCCTGGCTGTCACTCCACAGGCCTCACCTTGCATGGGGGGCTCAACTTCCCTGGGGAGCCGTGTCTATGTCTGGAGGGCTCCCCACGGCTCCCACCCATTGGTTTGCATCCATCGTGGAGCCTAAAGGATGGGTCCAGTCCCCCCAAATGCGTGTGAGGGTGTAGGGCGGCCCCTCAGGTCGTTTTTGGAAAGTGCTGTGTGGCCGCCTCAAGCCCATTAACACTTGCACGTGCCGGGCTCTGACTGCCCACATGCAGCAGGGCCACCAGCCCCTGGGAGGGAGCGTGGCACCCAGAGCCTTAGGCGGGGCTAGGAACGCCATCTGCCCAGCACTCCCTTAGGGGTCTCACCAGCTGTCCCTCTCCCATAGCTGAGCATGCTGCGCATCTCGCCCTCCATGGGCCACACACTGGATGTGAACCTGGCCCTGCGGCACTTGCTTTTCCTGCTGGAGTACTGCATGGTGACCGGCTATGACTGGTGGGACATCCTGCTTCACGTGCAGCCCACGATGGTGCAGAGCCTGGTGGAGCGGCTGCACGAGGAGTACACGCGCCAGAAAGCTGCCCTGCAGCAGGTAGTCCAGTGCCTCGTGCCCCCATCTTTCTACCTTGTTCTTTACCTGGAGAGTTTTCTCTAAGAAGTCAGAGCCCTCTGGTGACCCATGAACCCCTGGGGACACCACCTCTGCTGCCAGCGGGAGCTGTCTTCTCAGACGCCTCAGAGTACATGAGTGCGCGTGCATGCAGAACTGGGGGCTCGCACACATGCTGAGATAGGAGCAATAAATAGGCTTAGAGGTCAGAGAGGAAGAGAACAATGATCGGGTGCTTGTGACAGTGCACCTGTGAAACCACTAGCGTTCACAAGGAGCCCTTAACGCTAGCACAAGTTCCGCATGGGGGCGCACAAAGAATAGTTTCAGAAATGGGCAGCTTTCCTCTGTGCCAGTAGTGACCAGTAAGACAGTGAAGTAGGGAGATAGGTCCCTTTCACGAGAGGAGCCTGATAGGACGGGAGCGAGGTTGTTAGGGAGGATGTGAAGCTGTAGCGGGGGTTCAGGGCCGAGCTCAGTGGGAATGAGGTCACTGCCTGCAGGCCCTGGCCCGGTACATTCTAGTGCTTTAGCACGTTCACTCACCCAATGAAACCAGGTCTCCCCTCGGCACCTCTTACACCCGGGCCAGGTCTCTCTCTGTGGTGGGGGGCTGTTCTGGGCGCAGCAGAGTGCTGAGCAGCATCCCTGGCCCCCACCCACTCAATGCCAGAAGCACTGCCAGTGTGACAACCACAGATGTCCCTAGACATGCCCAGTGTCCCCTGGGTGCAGGGCCACTTCCAGGTTGACACCCTGCCCATTCTGTGAGATAGAGTCTCTTACCTGATTTCACCACAAAGAGGTGAGGCCCAGAGACATTAAGCAGGTGCCTCAGCTTGCCCAGCCCCGCTATATACTGTACAGGAGCCTCTTCCCCAGGCCCCTCAGGTGGATGTCTCTGCTCATACTGCACAACCCCCAGGTCCTCTCCACCCGGATCCTGGCCATGAAGGCCTCACTCTGCAAGCTGTCGCCCTGCACCGTGACCCTCGTGTGTGACTACCATGCCAAGCTCTTTCTCATCGCCATCAGCTCCACGCTCAAGTCCCTGCTGCGCCCGCATATCCTCAATACGCCCGATAAGAGTCCCGGCGACCGGCTGACCGAGATCTGTGCCAAGATCACAGACGTTGGTGTGTCCCGCCCCCTCCCAGCAGGCTGCCCTGAGAGTGGCTGTGCCTGCACGGTTCTGTGCAGGATCGTCCCAAGTCCTGCCTGAATACTGTCCACTGGTGCTTCCTGTATGTCAGGTGTGGGGATGGTACCTGAACTGAGGAGACTTTGGCCCGCAAGGTTGGCCTGGAGCTGGAGGCAAATGTTAACCAGAGGGAAACAGACGGAGTCGAGTCTGGTTCCATCAGCCATGCCAGGGAGGAGCTCAGGGGCCCCAGCACAGGCTGGCCCGAGGGGCAGCAGGGTCGTCCTGAGAGCTGGCAGTGGATACCTTGTTGCTGTGGGTCCAGCCCTCTCCTCCATAGTCCCTGGCTCAGCCATCCTGCCAGTCACTTGCTTATTCACAGCGTTGGGTTGGCCTTGTCCAGGCCCAGCTCACAGTGGGTGCTGGTGGGTCATGAGGATCCCAGGGTGTAAAGCGGGGTTGGTCCCAGTGCATGGTGGGGCCTGGGTACTTCTGACCACCCTCCCTTTCTAGATATCGACAAGGTCATGATCAACCTCAAGACAGAGGAGTTTGTCCTGGACATGAACACACTCCAAGCTCTGCAACAGCTCCTACAGTGGGTGGGCGACTTCGTGCTCTACCTGCTGGCCAGCCTGCCCAACCAGGTGTGCCCCCTCCCTGCCCCTCTGCAAAAGCCCCGCTCCAGGACCCATGAAGGTCCTAGGATATGACCCACATTTAAATAAATAGCTCGAATGCCTTTTCCTGCAGGGCGCCCCACTGCGGCCTGGACACAGCTTCCTGCGGGATGGTACCTCGCTTGGTATGTTGCGGGAACTGATGGTTGTCATCCGTATCTGGGGCCTGCTGAAGCCCAGCTGCCTGCCTGTGTACACGGCCACCTCTGACACCCAGGACAGCATGTCCCTGCTCTTCCGTCTGCTCACCAAGCTCTGGATCTGCTGTAAGATGTCCAGCTCTCTGATCCCAGCCTCCCACCAACATACAAGCCCCAGTTGAGTCCCCCCACCAGAATATGTTTCCTTAAGTCATACTGGCTGTGTCTTGGTCTCCACTGTTTCCCCAGCACCCAGCACAAGTTCAAGCACGGGGTGGGTGGTCATTAAACATCAGCCATTATTAAACACCTGGTGGCTTGTCTCATGTCACCAGGCTGTGTATTTCTGGAGGGCCAGGTTCTGTCATTCTTGAAACCCTCTTCCCAGGAAGGCACTCAGTTCTTGCTGAATGTTTTTTAAATGAATGACTAGGTTTCCATTTTACAGAGGGGAAGGCTGAGGCCAGTGGGGGAAGAGCTTCCAGGGCAACTCAGAAAGTCAGGTCAGAGCTGGGCCTTAACCTGGTCCCTGAGCTCCAAGCTGACCAGGACATCCCATGGTCCTCCTCTGCAGGCCGTGACGAGGGCCCCACGAGCGAGCCAGATGAGGCACTTGTCGACGAGTGCTGCCTGCTGCCCAGCCAGCTGCTCATCCCCAGCCTGGACTGGCTGCCTGTCAGTGACGGCCTGGTCAGCCGCCTGCAGCCCAAGCAGCCCCTGCGTCTGTACTTCGGCAAGGCCCCCACTCTGCCCGGCAGCGCCACCACCTTGCAGCTGGATGGCCTTATCAGGTGCGTGCCCTCCGCCTCGGGCCCTGTGCACGTTCCTCCTGCAGGGCCCCACCCCCCCAGACCCACCTAGCTCCTTCATGCTTCTGCCTCAGGGCTTTTGCATGTGCTGTGCCTGCTGCTTCCTCCTGAGCTTGACCTAAATGCTGTCCCCAGGAGACATGCCTCACTGAGGCACTGAATTCCCCTGCCTTCCAGTCCTTGTCACTCCCTCCACCATCACCTCAGTCTTTGTTGATTTGTGCACTTGGGTATCTGTGTGATGTTGTCCTCCCCCTGGTCTGTCACCTTCTGTGTGCAATGTCACGTGGCCGGCCACAGGTATTTGGGGCTCCAGCCTCTGCGGAGGCCAGGCTGATGTGTGGCCTGAGCCCCATACCTGGCCTGACCCAAGGCCCCAGTAGACACTAAATCAGGCTGGACCTTCACAGGGCTGAGGGGCACTCTGGCGGTCAAAGGGCCAGCCCTATCTTTGCAACAGAAGTCTGGACAACCCAGACCTGCTAAGTTAACCCTTTACTGCCCACAGCACTGAGGGTGGGGTTTTGTCCCCATCCCACAGGTGAGTGAACAGCTCAGAAGGGTGCAGTCACTGAGCCAGGGTCACAGCAATGAAGTGGCTGGGCCACCATCTGCACTGGGACCCATCAGGTGCCCACCCCTGCTGAGTAGTCCCTGGATGGAGAAATAGACGTGATCTGCCCGAGTAGCCTGTTACTTTGGGTGGAAGTTTCAGCAAGCATATGAACAAAAGGAAGGCTGTTGGCCCTAGCCAGGTAGCTCAGTTGGTTAGAGCATCATATCAATACATCAAGGTTACGGGTTCGGTCCCCAGTTAGGGCACATACAAGAAGCAACCAATGAATGCATAAATAAGTGGAACAGCAAATTGATGTTTTTTTCTCTCTCTCCCTCCAACCTTCTTCATCTCTCTCTAAAATCAATCAATAAATTAAAAGGAAAAAAAAAGAAGACCATTCCCACCCCTGTGGTCCCACCTCCGGGACCTCCTGGCATTTTCTTTCTTGTGCCGTGGTGGGACAGGGCCTGGTGAATCACAGAAAAGACTGTGAGTGAGGATGCCAGTCACTGGGAGGTTCTGAACGCTTTGTTCTGGAAACTCAAATATATGTCACACGGTACAACCAACTGTCCTGCCCCAAGCACCAGGTCTGCTCCTCTGTGGGCTCCTACTGCCAGGGTCTCTGTGTCACCCAAGGGTTCTGATGTCATCAGGGCGTCCAGCACCGTCCAGGGTGGGGTGTCTCTGTGGGCACAGGGAGTGTAGACGCACGTCCACAGGCACCATCTCCCTTGCGTTTTGCCACAGCAGGTGCATCATACATGTGTGTACATGTGTGCCCGTCTCTGCACATTAGTGCGCACACATATCTACTGCACATGTGTGCCCCTCTGTGCATGTGTGTGTTCTCTGCACACGTGTGTGCACATGTGCGTGTGTGTGGGACTCTGATCCCCTCTACCCTCCTCTGCCAGGGCAACTGGCCAGCCCAAGATCGACCATCTGCGGAGGCTGCACCTGGGAGCCTTCCCCACGGAGGAGTGCAAGTCCTGTACGAGGTGAGCCACGCACGGCAGACCCTTCATCCATCCCGCAGCGAACATTGCCCCCACTCTGCCACCGCATGACCTCAGGGTGAGAGGCTTCTCCTCTCAGCCTCGTTTCCCCACCTGTGAACGTGCCTCCCTTGTGGAGCTGCCGAGAGGACACACCAGGCAGTTTCTGTAAGGGACCAGGGAGGTCCTGGGCTTCCCTTCTGGGGATATCAGTGGTGAGCAGTGAGCACCCAGCCCTCGCAGAGCTCCCAGCAACCCAGGTGCAGGAATGGAGGAGCAACCACAGTGGTGCAAGGCCCAGGCCCTGTGCCGGCCCTTGGTAGACGTGGCCCCAGTTGCCACACAACCCAGACATAGGTTCTGAGTCCCAGTGTCATGCCACCAGGGAGTGCCGAGCCAGGACTGGACCCCCAGCCCCTGCTCTGTCCATGTTGAGGTGAGGCAGCAGCACCTGAGCTGGGGCAGGAGCATGCGGAGGAGCTGGCCAGAGTTGGGGGGCAGTGCAAAGGAGATCATTCCTGCTGCGGGGAACGGTGGGTGCAGGGGCCAGGGGCAGGTGGGAGAGGGCCCCACCCAGCGCCTGCTTCCACCTGGTTCTGCCTGCAGGTGTGGCTGTGTCACCATGCTCAAATCGCCCAATAAGACAACAGCTGTCAAACAGTGGGAACAGCGCTGGATCAAGAACTGCCTGTGTGGGGGGCTTTGGCGGCGGATGCCCCTCAGCTGCCCCTGACTGGGGTCCTCAGGCCCTGTAAACAGAGTCCCAATGGATGTTATGGAAAGGTGACGCTGTCCCCTCCCGGTGACAGCATTCTACATACTCAGGACTTTATGGGGTGTGTTAAAAAAGTCATTCTTGACCTGTGACTTTAGGGGCCTTGCCAGCCAAGACCAGCATCCCTGTGAGGACAGTTGAGGACTTGGCCTGAAGCCTCAGGTTGCTGCCTCTCACCCGGGGACACTGCTGTGTCTCTCTCAGAGCCTGGTGGTGCCTCGCAGGTGGCGGGACTCCGTTTCACAGCTGCACCTGTACCCAAGCTGGGTGCCGGCTGAAACAGACCCAGGCCCACCCACAGGTGTCACGGCTCCAGTGCCCCAAGCTCCCCCTGTTCCCGGGTGCCCCTGGTCTCACAGTTCAGAGGTTTCAGGACAGTCTGGCTGTTGGTCTTTTAAAATGCCTCACGTGAACCTGTTGGGTGTCCAGCAGTTGCTGCCAGTGACACTGGCCAGGTATCCTCTTCGGTTTCATCACCCATATCTACCGATGCTGTACCTGCTCATCCAGGTGGCTCTGACCTTGGCAGCCCAACAAACATTCAGCTTTGTTGGGTCACAGCTAAATGGCTGTGTGATGGGCATTGCCCCAGCAGACCCCCAAGGTCCTACCTAGTCCCAAGTCTCCCACCCCCATCGTGCATTTATGGGCATTTCTGTTTCCACGTGCCTGTATGTGTCACTCTTGCTCTGTCAGCATTTATGGAGCACCTAGTGTATGCCTGGTACAGGGTCTGCAGGGAGCAGCAGGCTGGGCATGGGTGGGGACTGTGCCTGGCTTGCTCTGCTTGTCTGTAGGTAGGTGGGTCTCGGCCTCATCTGTCTTCAATTGTGTGCATCTCTCCTTGCTCTCTGCCTTTGTCTTCCACACCCAGCCCTCAGTGCAGAGCTGCTCAGGCCTCATGCCCCTGGGGTCCCGCCTCCTATCACCAGCAGGTACTTTCTGGATTATGTCCCATACCCCCACAGTAGATGCACTGACCTGCCTGTTAAGTGGTAATTGGTTCTTATGTTTTCCTTCTGGAAGCTCAAGGGAGGCAGACCAGGTGGGTGCCCCACAGAAGGTAATGCCTTCACTGTAGCACAAGTGTGTTTTGAGCTCTCAGGATGGTGGGAGCTCAGGGAGCCCCTTGTCTGGATCGGGGCCGTGTTTCAAGCCCGTCTGCCCATGGCTGCAGGGCTCCGGCAGTGTCCAGTCCTGTTGGATTCCTGCTGCCTAACCAGTGCCAGGAGGCACGCCTTGTTTACCTACACTGCCTTCTGACTGGAAGTCCCAAATGGGCACAGTTTCTCACACACGGAGTTCATGAACGCTCTGTGGAGAACCTCCCACCCATCATGGGAAAGCCTAAATGAGGGAGATCCAATGCAACAGAATATGTGGCCCGTTATGCGCAAGGCTGGGAGTCCGCTGTGCCCGCCACACCCGGCGTGGGGCCGAGCACACAGAAGGAATTCCACAAATACTTGTGTATGAATGAATGCTTCATGGTACAAAACCAAAACCTTCCCACAGGTTCCAGTTCTAACTCCCCAATCCCCAGGGGGGCAAATGGCTTCACCTGTCACACCCTCCAACTCTTTCAACAAGAGGGAACTTCATGAACACCCGTTGGGGACCAGGCTTAACCCCTGGAGCCTGGTAGGTGCTGGGCCCCAGTGGCCCCTCATCCAGGCAGGCAAAGGGGCACAGAGTCTTGGAGCTTCGGTTCTACCCTGTCCCCTTCCTGTCATTGCCCAGAAGGATGGCAGTGAGTCTGGGGGGCGGAGCTGTGTGGCTGTTCTGGGATACCCATCAATCTGTTTCTGTGACCCTCTTAGCCCAGGAAATGCCTATGAACACAGGCACTGTGGTGCTAGGTTTGAATCCGGACTCTGCCAAGGAGCTTCTGTGTGACCTCAGGAGTCAGGAGGGCTCTCCAAGCCTGTTCCACAATTTGTGACCTGGTCACAAGAGCACAACTTCAGAGTTTCTCTACACCTGAGTCTCAATTCAGAGCAGGTCTAGCACACACAGGCCCTCATGTTACACCTGGGAAGCAAAGGGAGAGCTGGCCATCAGCTGGACCAAGGGGGACACGCCCACACAGGCCTTGGGGAACTTCAGGTGTCTGGACTCCTAGGAAGGAGTAAGGGCGCCACCACGTGGCTGAGGCATGGAGGTGCCTGGCAGCTTCAGACCCTGGTGAAGGGTGTTGGGTCTGCCAGCTTTTACCCCTACCCTCACCCCGAGGTCCTGCCAGCCAGGTTCACCACCTTTCAGCCTTCCTGTCACCTCCTGGCATGGCATTACTGGTGCACATGCTTTTGTTTGCGGATCATGCCGTGTGTGCTCAAGATAGCAGCATCGGAAGCAGCTGGACTTGCCTAATCTGCAGTTGAATGAATAGCAAATGAGAAAGAAACAACAAAGAAGGCTGGGGGTCCACAGGGTGACAGGAGCTCTATTTGGGGACTTGGCGTGCAAGGTCAGCACAGTGCATTTCCAGCAAGACTGCCTGGAGGCTCTGCCTCCAGAGACAACAGGGCAGGACCATGTGCACCTAGTCTCCCTGCCAGGGAGTCATTCAGGTCCTCGGGCCAGAGCCCCAGGTGTTGTAATACCTGCCCAGCTCCAACCCACTTCCCAAACTACCCTGCACAGAATGCCTACACGCTCTGCCAGACCACTTTCTAAATAACTAATGAGGGAGAGAATGTACAGAGAAGATTGGAGAGTGAACTGCAGGCACTCTCCCTGGGGAGGGGGATCAGAGGGGCCACGAGCACCATCGTATGTGTCTACTCCACCTCTAGAGGGCAGTAGGAGCTCTATCCAGGGGCTTTGGCCTGCCTTTGAGGTAGACTCCAAACAAAGAAAGCAAGCAGGGTCCACAGGGCATCGCCACCCTCACCTGGCCTCCCCAGCTCTGGCCACTCCAGCTCCGTGGGCTAGTGCCCCAGGTACCTTCAGCTCCCACTGGCTTCCCAAACCACCCAGCACATGCAGACACCTCCACATCAGGCCACTTTCTCAAGACTGTCTAATTCATGTAAACAAACAGAAGTCAAACAAAATGAAATGCCAGAATATCTATCTCTCAACTGAGGGGACAAGAAAAGTTTCCAGAAAAAAGTAAATAATTTGCCTGATAAAGAATTCAAAGAAGGTCAGACTTCCAGCCAAGATGGAGGCACGGGCAGACACACTGTGCCTCCTCACACAACCAAAATAAGGACAACAGCAATTTAGAAACAAGAAAACAACCAGTACTGAACAGAAAACTGAACTGTATGAAAGTCCAACAACCAAGGAGTTAAAATAGACACATTCATCCAGACTGGTAGGAGGGGAGGAGTTGGGCGGCTGGGCAGAGAGGGGTCACAGCAAAAAAAGCAGTGGCTGGTGGACCCCCAGGTGTGCAGGCGGAGGCTGGTGGACCCAGTGAGGCATCAGACTGGAGGGGCACTGCGGGCAAGGCCGCTGGTGGACTGGGTGGACCCACATTCCCATGCAGATAAACCAGGTGAAGCTGGGGAGTGAGACAGACTGAGCAACCCAGGGCTCCAGTGCAGGGAAATAAAGCCTCAAAACACTGATTGAAAACACCTGTGGGGGTTGAGGTGCAGGGAGAGACTCCCAGTCTCACTGGAGAGACCCACAGGGTCCTAGAACATACACAAACCCACCCACCCAGAAGTCAGCACCAGAAGGGCCCAGTTTGCTTGGGGGAAGAGGCAGAAGTGACTGAAATCTGGCAGAGAGCAGAGCAAGCACCATTGTTCCCTCTGGGACCCCTCCCCCACATACAGTGTCACAATGTGGTGATGTGGGTTGCCCCGCCTTGGTAATACCTAAGGCTTGCCCCTCATACCTAACAGGCGCGTTAAGACAAAAAAAAAAAAGTCCCAAACACAAGAATAGATCAAAGCTCCAGAACAACTGACTGATGAAGAGATTGCCAACCTATCAGATGCACAGTTCAAAACACTGGTAATCAGGATGCTTACAGAATTGATTGAATTTGATCGCAAATTAGATGAAGAAATGAAGGCTACACTAAGTGAAATAAAGAAAAATGTACAGGGAACCAGTAGTGATGGGAAGAAAACTGGGACTCAAATCAATGGAGTGGACCAGAAGGAAGAAAGAAACAATCAAACAGAAAAGAATGAAGAAATAAGAATTCCAAAAAAATGAGGAGAGGCTTAGGAACCTCCAGGACATCTTTAAACTTTCCAACATCTGAATCATAGGGGTACCAGAAGGGAAAGAGGAAGAACAACAAGTGCAAAAGTTATTTGAAAAAATAATAAAGGAGAACTTCCCCAATCTGGCAAAGGAAATAGACTTCCAAGAAGTCCAGGAAGCTCAGAGAGTCCCAAAGAAGTTGGACCCAAAGAGGAACACACCAAGGCACATCATAATTACATTAGCCAAGGTAAAAATGAAGGAGAGAATCCTAGAAGCAGCAAGAGATAAGGGGACAATAACTTACAAAGGAGTTCCCATCAGACTGTCAGCTGATTTCTAAAAAGAGACCTTGCAGGCAAGAAGGGGCTGGAAAGAAGTATTCTAAGTCATGAAAGACAAGGACCTATATCCCAGATTACTCTATCCAGCAAAACTTTCATTTAGAATGGAAAGGCAGATAAAGTGCTTCTCAGAGAAGGTCAAGTTAAAGGAGTTCATCATCACCAAGCCCTTATTATATGAAATGTTAAAGGGACTTATCTAAGAAAAAGAAGATAAAAAACATGTTTAGTAAAATGACAGCAAACTCACAATTATTAACAACCCCACCTAAAACAAAAACAAACTAAGCAAACAACTAGAACAGGAACAGAACCACAGAAATGGAGATCACACGGAAGGTTAGCACCAGGGAAGTGGGAGGAGGAGAGAGGGGGAAAATGTACAGAGAATAAGTAGCATAGATGGTAGGTAGAGGATAGACAAGGGGAGGGCAAGAATAGTATGAGAAATGTAGAAGCTAAAGAACTTATAAGTATGACACATGGACATGAACTAAAGCGGGGGAAGTGGGTGGGAGGGGTGTGCAGGGTGGAGGGGAGTGAAAGGGGGAAAATGGGACAATGGTAATAGCATAATCAATAAACTATATTAAAAAAAGAATTCAAAGAAGTGGTCATCAGGATGCTCACCAAACTTGAGTGGAATACAGGAACTTAGAACTTCAGCAGAGAATTAGAAACTATAAGAAAGAACCAAGCAGGCCTAAAGAATATAATAACTGAAATTTAAAACACACACACACACATTAGAAGGAATTAACAGCGGATTAGCTAGTACAAAATAATGGATCAGTGGAAGACAGACTAGTGGAAATCAACCAATCATAACAGGAGAAATAATTAAAAGCCACAAAGATAGTTTAAGAGACCTCTGGGATAACAGCATGCACTCCAACATTCACACTAGGAATCCCCAAAGGAGAAGAAAGGCAGAAAGCCACAGAGACTTTACTTAAAGAAATAATGGCTAAAAACTTTCCTAATCTGGGAAAGGAAACAGAAACAGACTTCCAAGTGCAGGAAGCACAGAGAGTTCCAAACAAGAGGAACCCAAAGAGACTCCACCAAGACATGTTGTAGTTAAAACGGCAAACACTGGAGACAACCCTGAAGGCAGCAAGAAGAAAACAAAGTATTACATACAAAGGAAATCCCATAAGGTTATCAGCTGATTTCTCACAAAAATAAACTCTAAATGGATTAAAGGCTTAAATGTAAGACCCAAAACGATAAAGCTCCTAGAAGACATCAGTGGTAAACTCCTTTACATCACTCTTATCGAAATCTTTTTGTATATGTTTTCTCGGGTAAAGGAAACAAAAGAAAAAAATAAAACGGGACTACATCAAACTAAAAAGTTTTTGCAAAGCAAAGGAAACCATGAACGAAATGAAAAGACAACCTACCTTTAAGTGGGAGGAGATATTTGCAAATGATTTATCTGATAAGGAGTTCATATTTAAAATATGTAAAGAACTCATATAACTCAACATCAAAAAACAATCTAATGAAAAATTTGGCAGAGGACCTGAATAATCATATCTCCAGAGAGAACACACAGATGGCCAGTGGACACATACAGATACTCAATGTCACTAATCACCAGGGAAATGCAAATCAAAACCACAGTGAGACACCGCCTCACACCTGTCAGAATGGCCGTCATCAGTAAGTCAACAAACAACAAGTGTTGGTGAGGATGTAGAGAAAAGGGAACCCTCGTGTTTTTGGTGGGATTGTAAATTGATGCAGTCACTATGGAAAACAGTATGGAGGTTCCTCAAATAATTAAAAATAGAGCTTCCCTATGATCCTGTAATTCCACTTCTGGGTTTTTATCTGAGGACTTTTGCATTTCTATGTTCACTGCAGCGTTATTTACAATAGCCAAGACATGCAAGCAACCTAAGTGTTCATCAACAGACGAACGGATAGGGGAAATGTGGTACCTATACACTCTGGAATATTACTCAGCCATGAGAAAGAATGAAATTTATTGCAACAATATGGATGGAACTAGAGTGTATTATTCTAAGTGAAATAAGTCAGAGAAGTACCACATGATTTCACTTATACGTAGAATCTTAAAACAAAAACAAATGAATAAACACGATGGAAAGGGAATAAAATAAAAGTGAAGTCTGACCAGATGCAGGAGTCAATGACTTCATTGCTCCTTGGGACCCGGCCCTTCAGGTTTTCCCCAGGTGGTCACGTCCCCAGCCATCACGCTGTTGATCCAGGCGGTGTAGCTTCCTACACGAGTATAGATGCCGGGCTTCTTGGGGTTGCCACACACACGGGATCCCGAGGTGACCACGCCCTCAGCCACGCCGTTGCACACCAGCGGGCCCCCAGAGTCGCCCTGTGTGGACAGTGCCGTTAGGTGGGGGCACTCCCACTCCGTAGCCCCTCCCTTCCTACCCATGCATCGTGCCTTTGGTGTCCCACTGCAATTCCTGCTCCTCCCTCCAGTTCAAACCTGCTCCCTCGCTTGTCAATCTCCCCAGGCCCTACCCACTACTGCAAGCCCCACCCACCAAAGGCTCTGCTTCCCGGCTCTCAGCTGTCTATTCTGCGGGCCCTGCACTCCCACATGACACTCCAGTGCCCCTCCCTCTGTTCCACCCTCTGCTCCACCCCACACCTTGCAGCTGTCCATGTTTCGTTTGCTCTCAGCACACATCATGCGCTCAGTGACGGTGCCGTCGTGGTACTTGCGCAGGTTGCAGATGGTACGGTTGATCACCGGCAGGAGCAAGTACTGCAGGAGGTCGGGCTTTCGGCCCGAGTGATTGATCACGCCCCAACCGGCCACGTCGCACAGCGTGCCACCCGCCACATCTCGGTCCTCTTGCTGCCAGGGCAGGGGCTTCACGGCGGGGCCCAGAGTGGCATTCTCAGAGAGCTGGGGGTGGGGAGAGGCGGGCATCAGGGTCGCAGGAGGGCATATAGCAGGAAGGGCTAGGCTAGACTCGGTGGGACGGGGTTGGGGGAAGGCGGGCATCGGGGTTGGGAGGCGCGGGATGGTGGGGGGCACGCAGCAGGAGCGACTGAGGCTGGACTTGGCAGACCTGCAGCAGAAGGAGGTCGTGGTCGATGGTGTCCAGCCGGCTGTCTGGGTGGGGCACTGCTCGGATCACATCGTACAGCTGCTTGGAGGGCTCAGGTTGTGACAGCGAGTGTGCGCCCAGGAGCACCTGCACCAAGGTCTCATTGGTGTTCCTGGGTGTGGGGCAGGGTCCACGTCAGATCCGTGTCGCCCCCCTCCCACCCCTTCCCTGCTCTGTTTCCCACCACCACTCACACATGCTCCAGGCAGTGTGCTGCGCTCAGCACCCACCGCTCCGTCACCAGGAAACCGCCGCACACATGTGTGCCGTTCACCTGCACCGAGGCCATGTAGGGCCGCTCGTGGGGCTTGGCCTGGCTGCCTCCCAGGATCCGGCCGCGGGGCTGTGCCACTAGGTGTAGGCAGGGGGGTGTGAGGACTCCCCAGATGACTGCAGCCCAGCCATCAGAGGCCCCGTGCACCACCCTCTCCAGTCCCCCTCAGACCAGGAATTCCATCACTGGATCCCCACACCCCAGGGTCACAAACTCAGAAGCTCAGATGCCTGGTAACAATATACACAGAGCCTAACAGCTTTGATTTAAACAAGAAAAGCAGGACAGACCAAACCAGCACTCCTGCCATCCACTGAACACACCAGCCGCCAGTTTCCGTTGTAGGACTGCATGTTCTCACTGTGAGGAAAGCTCACATTCCAGATGCAGGTTTTGAGAATTCATGAACTTTCAGATCCTTCCATTCGTCTGGACACTGCCCCATGTCTGCCCACATAGTAGGACTGGGAGACAGTCCTGTTTGATGTGGGGGGGACCGGCTGACTGCCCTGCAGGCTGGTGGCCCCTGCTGTCACCCCAGCCCCAGGTCCACTCTCACCACATAGGGCCGCTCCTAGGAGGATCAGAGCTGCCAGGTGCACTGAGAGATCTGCCATGCTGCTGCTGTGGCCTTGACACTGCCCCAGGCGGGGCCTGGGGCACTCTTATGAGAGTGGAAGGTGGGGCGGCTCCAACAGTCCCCATCTGCCCAATGGGCAGTTGCCCAGGTGGGTGAAGGGGAGCCCTCCTCTGCTCCCACCCTCCTCAGGGTGGGGTTATCTCCTGCTGGACTTTGCACTGTCAGGGGTGCCTCCTGCCTCACTGTACCTGGCCCAGGGCTGGCCTTGATGTGGGGAGCAGCCCCTCAGAATGCAGGAGCAGAGCAGAGGGATGGACCCACCCCAGTCCCCCAGCCCAGCCTCACAAGAGTGTCCTTCCAGCCCTCAAGTTTCACAACAGCTGTTGGAGGCTGGTTTATAAACAACCGATTTCCTCGTTTTCTGTACCTTCCTTCATTGTCTTTCTCTTCCAACTTGGAGAAGAAATTGGGTGGGGGTGGGGAGGCCACCCTATACCTTTTGTCCCCCAGTGCTGTGGCTCTGGGGCCTGACACTCCAACAAGTAGAATGTTGAAAATGTGGTGTGTAGGGGCAGCTGGAAAGACTGTGTCTGCAATAAGGAAATTTAAATGGAAAGTTCAGAGTCTGCCTTCAGGTGTGGCTTGATCCAGGCACCTTGAACAATGTTAGGTCTCTGCCTCTGGTTGTCCCCTTCCTCCTTGATGGCTTCTCTCCTCACCAGTCTCCCCTGTGATGGCCCAGGAAACCCAGATTCAGCCCAGTGGCTCAATGGGCTCCTCTCCTGATTCCGTATCACTCTAGTCAATGTCTCTAGGCTGCTTCTGATTGGCTGAGCTTGGATCATCTGCTCTGTCTCAAACCAACCTGCCAGGGGATGGAAGGTTCTGAGGAGCAGAACCTGTAAGGTGGAAATGGTGGGTCAGTGTCTCATGAACCCGTGGGGGCAGGCACTGGAACCAGAAGAGTGGGGCAGGCCGTGGATATCCCCAGTGGGAACAATGCATGATGTTTTCCCCTCCTTTTTTTCCCCCTCACAGCAGATTATTTCATATATACTGAATAGAAAGTAAATGTGATCTGTTAGATCCTAACATGTTTCCTAATTAAAATCAGAAGTTCTGAACAAAAGCCCATGAGGATTTGGAATCCAGATTATGTAAGAGTATTCAAAATTGCAACATAATCTGGAAACGACTTAGAACAATGGGGTGGTTCAGTAAATAACCCCGAACATCCGCATATCCTGTGAGGATGTGGGAAGACCCCTGGGTATAGTATTAAGTGGAAAAAGATGGTCACATTTCTGAGCAGGTGGCACTTGGGGGAAGGCTGGATAAGGGGACAGCCTGCAGGAAGAATGGGCAGGCAGAGGAAACAGCCAAGGCAAAGGCCCTGAGGGGACCCAGGTGACTGAACTTCCGTCCCCAGGGAGGGGATTTGGGGCCGGGGGACAGAGAGGGAAGGAGATTTATTCCACACCTGTGGTGTGTGTGGTGGGCATCATTACTGTTCATTTGCTGGTTCAGGTGACTATTTCTTCCCCCACCGCCAGACTATAAGCTGCATGATGGCAGAGGCCATGTCTGCTGTGGTCCCCACCCATGGCCCCAGAGGCAGAAGAGGGGTACAAGTCAGTCACATGCCCCAGGACAGCAACTTCCACCAGGACTGGGGGATGCCTTGGGGATCATCTGCTTTGCTCCCCCACTCCCTTGTCAGAGCAAAAGTCTGGAGAGGTGGGGGAGGGCTTGTCTTTGTCCCCTAGTGAGACCCCAATCCTTGGTTGCACCCGTCCTAGACAGCAGCTCACTCCTCCCCACAGGGAAACAGAGGTTCAGAGATAGCCACCAAGTTGCCAAAAGTCAGAGCTGGGACTCAAACCCAGGCTCCTGAGAACGGCTTCATTCTCTGCACTCCACTTTCTCATCTGTAAAACCACACTGGTGGGGCCTGCCTCAGGGGCCAAGGAGAGCTCCAACACTAGCAAAGACCGAGAATGATTTCCACACCTGGTCAGTGCTCAGCAAACACCTGCCGCAGTGCTTTGTCACCACGTGTAAGTGGGTTTTATGGGAGGGAAACCAGAAGTGGCAACTGGCATCCTTTTACGGCAGGTAGGGAAGAAGCTTCTTACCCCAATGGACTGGCTTTGCTGCCCCCTGGTGGCAGCATACTGGTGAGATGTCCAAGACACTCTCCTGACTACATTCAATCTTCAATTGCACAACCAACAAACACCCAGACACTTCCTACAAAACAGAGAGGGTTTTTATTGTGCCAGATGCTGCATAGTGCACCATGAGATGGGCCTGGTGAGGGGCAGGTGAGGTGGGGTGACCAGGGAAGTCCTTTCTAGAAGGTCCTACTCGCAGGGTCCCTGGGGTGGAGTTGAGGGTGGGCATCATGGCGGCGGATGATGGAGTTTATCCAGTCTGCGTACTGTGCCACGGCGGCAAAGGAATCTGGGAAGTAGCCAGAGCCACAGACTCCCCTGATGAAGGAGTCGATCCCGTGGATCAGTCCGTTGCAGATCAGGGGCCCACCGGAGTCCCCCTGCACAAAGAACCAGGGGAGGTTAGGAGCTATGTTTCCAGAGCCCTCCATCCACTTCCTTTCAGGGTTGTGAAGTCCTCCCTGGAGTCTGGCTTGCAGTCCCGGTTGCTGCAGCCCAGGTGGGAGTGGGGTGGGGGCTGAGAGGGGGATTGCAGATACTTACGAAGCAGATGCCGGCCCGCCGGCGCTGCACCAGCGTGCACACGTTTGTGGGGCGGCAGAGGAATGACACCACAGTCACGTTGAGCTCCTGTAGGACTCTGGCTGCTGGCCGGTTCATGCCCAGCTTGCCCCACCCCATGGCCACGCACTGCACCCCACTCTCCACGCCTTGGCCCTGCGCAGGCAGCCTGGCCACCTGCACGTTGGCATTGATGGTGGCTGACCCGTTGAGCTGCGGTGGACAGGGAGAGAACCAAAGAGTCACATGGGGCTGTCCCCTCTCCGGGTCCATTTTCCCATCTGAGGCCCCACGGTGGTTCTGGGATTCTGTGGAGTAGGATGCCCACCCTCCAAGATGTTCCCCATCCCGAGCCTCTGTTTCCCCATCTGTGAAGTAGGAGCAAGTGGCTCAGGGTGACCCTGGACATTTCTTGAGTGTAATAAGCAGTAGGGACCTGATACACCAAGCTGCGGGCAACCCCAAGGACAAGAAAACCCTGGTTCTAGGACATTACAGAGAATAATCGTAACTCCACGCACAGTGGGAAGGGAAGGTTTCTCTCTCTCGTCTCCCAGCAGTCTGAATGTGGGGAAGTTTGGCCCATTTCACAAAGACAGGGACTGTCCCTGCCCTTGGCCGCAGGGCACGAAGAGTCACAACAGTCTGGTAGCAGACAACTGTTCAGATCTCTCTGCATCCTTGTGTTCCCTTGCTGCACAGTCCTGCCAGGTGGGGCTTCTTTCCCAGTTTACACAGCCGGACACCGAGGCACAGGGATGACCTGGCCAGTTAGAGCCAGATGAACCCCCGGCCCATAGCCTCTTCCTTGCCCTCTGCAAGCCTCAGACCCCTGGGCCTTTGCACCTGCTTGGGCATCCCTTCCTTACCCCTGGAGCGTCCCTTGTCTGCCCAGCCAGCCCCGCACCTGTAGAATCACGATGTCATTCAGCAGCCTCTGGCGGTCGAAGCCGTTTTCGAAGACTTGCTGGATGCTGAACACCTGCCGGGTGGACTCAGGCCTCCCCAGGTTGTGTGCGCCCAGCACCACCCGCACCGTCTGGAAGTCTCTGTGACAAAGTGAGCGCAGGCGATTCGGGGTGGCTCTGCACTTTGAGGGTGGCAGAGAGGCTCCAGAGCTCAGTCGAGACTCTCCCCATTCCCATGAGGTGCCTCGCCCTCTGGGACAGGGCCTTGGGCCCCTTGGCTGAATGCGGCCACTTGGGCCTGGTGGAGAAGATGAATTAATGGGGGCTCCCTGGAGGAGCCCAGGCCCTGGTCTCACTCCCCAACCCCTAGCTCCCCACCCAGGTTTGACCGAAGTGGAAAAAGAGGGCCTGAAGGGGGAAGGTGTGCTCGGGGGTCACTTACCTGTTATTCACACAGTGGGCGGCTGACATGACAAAGTTCTGGGCCACTAGAGTGCCACCACAGAAGTGGGTTCCGCGCCGCTGTAGGGACACCATGAAGGGCCATGCATGGGGCCTGGCCTGCCGGCCACCCACGATCTCAGAGGCCAGCACGGAGCCTGGGGACATTCAGGGGTGGGGTTGGTGAGTGCCGTGGAGGAGACCCACCCCACCGGGCTGGTTAGCCCTTGAACCCCCACCAAGAACCCATGGGTCAAGGGCTCCTCACATGCTTTTTGCCAGCTGAGGCACAGAAAGGAAGGGGGGGCCTGCAACACCCCTGCCAGGGCACAGCTGTATCTGGACCCAACTTGGCTTTACAGCTCCCGGAGCATGCCCAGTGACCTTACTTCCCGGTCGCTCTGGGCTCTGGGCTCCTCACCACTCTTGACGTCAGTCTCCTCCTCTGAAAATGGGTCTACCTACCCCGGCCTCCCCCTCCATGAGGATGAAGGGGCCACTTGGGTCAAGGGCACAGTCAAGAGGCAGGAATGGGTTCCCAGGGACAGACTGACGGGCAGACATGTGGAGCCACTCACCACCCAGCAGCAGGGTCAGCAGGATGAAAGCAAGGGCAGGGCCGAAGGGTCTGCAGCTTTGGGCCATGGTGAGGCGGGGGCTCCGGTGTCTCTGTCCCCTGTGCCCACCTGGCCTTCTTATAGCCTGAAGCCTGGGGACCGTTGCATTGCCCCATGGAGGGGCCAGGTGTCCCCACTTCCTCTCTCCACCCCTAGGAACGGATGGAGGCGATGATGGGAAGAGCAGTGGGCAGCGTGGGGTGGTGTGTGCTGGGGCCTAGACTGGCTCCACATGAAATTCAGGGCACAAATTTGAAAGTCAGATAAACAATATTTTTTCTTTTTAGTTACATTTTTGGGGTGGCATTGGTCAATACAATTATGTTTCAAGCGTACAATTCTATGATACATCCTCTGTGCATTGCATTGTGTTCCCACCACCCAAAGTCAAATCTTCCTCCATCACCATATGCTTGAACCCCTTTATCCTTTGGTTTCCCGCAGCCGCCTTCCCTCTGGTGACCACCATGCTGATTTCTGTGTCTGCGAGGTTTTGTTTGAGGCTTTTTTTTTTCAGTATAACTGTGTCCCAAATATTGTACTTATCTAGAAAGTTAGTCATTGTTTATCTGACATTCAAATTTAACTGGGTGTCCTGTATTTTTGCTAAACCTGGCCACCTTAGGCCCAAAGAACGCCGGCTGGGTTCCCCCACATGCCTTGGCTTACCCACGGCACTGTAATAATGACGGTGCACCCAGAGCTGTCCTGACATTTTACAGGGGGATGGGGGCCTGCTAGGTCCTTATTTGATTTTTCTAAACCCTCACTTGAGGACATGTTTATTCATTTTTTAGAGAGATAAAGAAGGAGAGAGTGAAACACTGATGTGAGAGAAACATCAATCGGTTGCCTCTTGTACCCACCCCAACTGGGGATGGAACCCACAACCTTTTGGTGTATGAGATGACGCCAAACCAACTGAGTCACCCAGCCAGGGCTGGATCCCCATTTGAGATGAGGAAACTGAGGCACAACGAGGCCTCCCCCGTGAGTTCCTACCCAGCGACATGGTGAGCAAGTGGGGGTTTAAACTCAGGCCCCGCAATTCACAGCTGGCTGGTGATTCGATGCCCACCTCCCTAGGTCTTGGGTCTCCCTCTCCAGGCCTGGCCTTCCAGTGCCCCTTCTGCTGTAGCTCACAGTGGGGAGCGCATTCCCACCTGGGCCCTCATGAGTCTCTGGTCCCCAGCAAAGATTCTGAGGAAGAGCTCCTCTCATTCCCCCGCCCCCTTGAGCTTGGCAGGTCCCCTTTCTGGCCTGGGAAAGGAATCCTGCCAGACCTAGGGGCTGGACCATGGACGTCCACCGAAGCTGCTGCCTGGGGCTGTGGAAGAACTCAGACCAAAGCAATAAAGAAGGGGCCCCAGGGCTCAGCCCCCCACCCGATGGCCCTGTTCCTCTTCCCACCTCCCCCAGAATGCTCCAGCTGCAACGGCTGTAGCCAAGGCTGTCGCAAGAAGCAACGTTTTCCTGACCTGGAACAGGGCTCAGGGGAGGGAACCAACGGATCTATCTGCAGGGACAAGCGGTGGGGGCGCTGAGGACACCGGAGCTGGGGCTGAGTCCCGTTTGCCCCTGGGCTCCCTTCCACACGCGGCCACGGGCAAGCGAACCCCCACACCTCATCAGTGGGGATGACAGCTGTGCTCCCCCAGAACCTGGCACATAGTAGGCACTCAGTGTCTGCCCTTCATCTCCCCCTTCTTCACATGCACATCAGCCAATCCTGCCCCTCTCCCTACTTGGCAGGGTCCCCACCCCATTGTGTTAAATTTATCATAAAGTACTCAGTAAGCACCTACTGCATAGACAGCCCTGTTTCCAATCTGGAGATGGGAGAGTGGAGAACGCTATATCTTGGGGGTGGGGGCTGGCTTAGGTAGGAAGACCCCATTTAACCAAAGCTGCATTTATTGAGCACCACCTGTATGTATACTATGTTCACACATCTCATAGTGGTCAAGCATATCAACTCTGGGTTCCTTCTGGCTTGGCCACTTGCCCACTACATAATTTCAGATCACAGACTTAACCCATCTGTGCCTCAGTTTCCTCATCTGTAAAAGGGAAGCTATAATAATAGGCTCCATTGCATAGGATTGTCTCAAGGATTGGATTAATTTGTGAAGTTTTTAGATTAGAAAGTGATGTCCCAGAGGGCTTATTAACCCTGAATCACCCCCAGCGGGGCAAGGTGCTGACTGCCTGGCGGGTATAGGCTGGGAGGCAAATGCTAGGCTTATAATTTGCGATCAGAGTACCGGTGACACTGGCGATACTGTAGTGAGCCTTCCAAGCAAGACGTTCGCACTGTATAGGCCTGAGTTACGCCCCAGAGAGGAGACAATGACTTGAGCATCTCCCCCGACCTGGAGGCCGGGGACCCCTGAGCTGCAGAGAGTGGTCCCCAGCAGCATAGATGCCCCTCCATGGGGCTTCCCGGGGAGCCCCTCACCACCCCGCAGGCCTCCCAAATTGCTGATCATCCTGCTTGTTATTCCCATGGGTTTGTCCTTTCTTGGATCCACCCAGCGTCCCCAGGCCCCATCCTCAGCTCCCTCTCTTGGACCTGATCTTTGCTGTGCGGCGCTTCCCTGAGTCACCTCTCACTGGCAAGCCCACGGAAACCAGAAAACACCCGTGGCTGTGTTTGGTGGGTCTTTCTGTTCCCAACATTCCCTCTAGCAAACCACTCTCTACCCCTGATGCTGTGGGGTTTTTACAGAAACCCCTTCCCCACCTCGGGCGGTGGGAAATGCAGGGAGTGCCCAGCGGGCCCCTGACACCCATCATGCACATTTCCCAGGACCCAGCCATGTCCCCTGTCCCCGCACACATTTGTCCCTGGTAACACGGCCCAGGGGACGAGGTGTAAAAGATACAAAAGGGCGCAGGCCTGAGCGTTGTCACTCTCGCTCGAATCTGCACATGGCACCAGGTGGTGGCAGAACAAACTGATGAGGGAAGAGCTGCCTTCCAGCTCTGGTTTGTCCCTTGAGCAGTTGGGACCTCCTTCGGAGCCTCGTTCCCATGGCTACTCACCTGCTGGCCAATGACCTCTACCTCCTCCCGGCCTCAGGCCTTTCCTCTAAGCCCACCCAGTTCATGTCTGTGGGCCTGCATGCTCTGCCACGTCCCTGAACTTTCCTATTCTACCCCCTGACTCTCCATTCCAGCCACACCGCATGCCTTCCTGTTCCTCTTTGCTTGATGTGCCTCTGCCTGGGGCGCTTCTCCTCACATCAGGCATTGCCGCCTCCTCCAGGAAGCCTCCCTAATAGCCATTCTGCCTGCCCTTGACTGGGTCAGGAAACCCACAGGCCCTGGGCACTCCAAGTTATGACAGCCTGGTCATATGAGAAGCCCCAAGCTGGAGACACAGAGCCAGACACGACACCCGCATCCCTGAAGAACAGGTGGGGCTCCTTCATTGGTTCTGGGAAATGTCTGTGGTAGCTCCCTTTTCCAGATGAAGAAACTGAGACGCAAAGATGGGCATCAACTTGCCCAGGGTCACACTGGCAGGGCTGGATTAGAACCCACATCTACGGGCATTGGAGGCATGGGACATACTGTGACCTGGGCCCTCCACCAGCTTCCAGGCTTCTGCTCCACACCCCCGTGCAGAGTCTGGGGCCTGGGGCCTGGGGTGCTGGGGGCCCTTGGCTGCTCCCCCCCACATACCCCCTCATGGGAAGGACAGACAGGAGCCAAAGGAGGGTTTCGATTTTTATTGATGTCACCGTGAGGCTGGGCACAGCCCCCTGCCCCCAGTTAGAGCTTGTTCCCTGGTCCTGGCCCCTGTGAGGGCCATCTGGAGCAAGTGGCTCAGGGGCTGCCCTCCTCCCCCACACTTCTCAGCACGGACTGGATCCAGTCCACGTAGAGGGCCACACGAGCGAAGAAGTCAGGGAACAGGCCCGTGGCACACTCCCGGATCAGGAAGGAGTCCACGGCCTGGAGGACACCGTCACAGATCAATGGGCCACCAGAGTCTCCCTGGAAAGAGCGAGGACAGGGTGGTCAGTCGCCCTGGGTGTGGCTCCGTCAGGGAAAGTGTAGCTAGTGGCAGCCTGATGCTAGTTAGTGGTAGAATGCTTCCAGTCCGACATGTGGACAAGTGGACAGAGGGAGGCCATTCCAAAGGAAAGTGAGCATTTATTGGCCTCGGGCCATGTACCTGGACTCCTGGAACGAGGCTGGGCTAGTCACCCCCACTTCCACAGGGTCTGAGAGGGGGCCCCAGGATGGGAAAGTTCCTAGACCCATGAAGGCCACCAGGTATGACCTGAGCGCCCTCTCTGTGCCTGCAGCAGTGAAGGCTGTTCTGCTGAGCCCCCCTGATGGGTGTGCTCCTCTTCCAGATGGGGAGTGAGGCACACCTGTGCTGCTCAGTGAGGAGGGTGTGGGTTTGCATTCCGGCCACCTGCCCACCCTCCCTCCTGTGGCCAGTTCCTGAAGCCTCTCCTCTGCTCCAGAGCAGCCCCAGCCTTTCAGGAGGTCCCTCCGGTCATGCAAACTTGGTTCAGGGCACTGCGAGCCAGGCGGATACGTACAAAGCAGATGCCTGCTTTTCGACGGGGCACGAAGGTGCACACATTGTGTGGCCGACATAGGAAGGTGACCACGGTGACGTTCAGCTCCTGCAGAGTGTGGGCCAATGGTGCACGGGTGCCCAGGCGGCCCCAGCCCATGGCCAGGCACTGGGTGCCATGGGGCACCAGCTGGTCCTGCTCGGGCAGCTGGGCAACTGCAACCTGAGCGTTGAGGTTGGCAGGGCGGTCCAGCTGGAGCAAAGCAAAGGCATGTAGGAAGTGAGAACCTGTCTCTAGACCCCATTGCCACCACCTTCTCACATTTGTTCATGTCCTGACCACCCGTCCTGTGCCTCCTCTGGGGCCTTTGTACATACTGCTCCCTCTGCCTGACCCCTCCCACTCACTCTCAGGTTCGACCACAGGGGTCACCTCCTCTAGGGAGCCTGCTCTGATTGACCCTCCAAACCCTACCAGAGCTCAGTTTTACATTCTCTGACATCATGGACCTCCCCTCTGTAGCCTTTGTCACTGTGGCATTTATTTGCTTACAAAGCACTTATTGAGTGCTAACTGTGTGCTTGGCCTTCTGCTAAGCCCTTGGGATACTACCTCTGCCCTCAGGTGATCATCTGGGGAGGTGGAGAAGCCAGGAGGACAACAGACTTATAGCCAAGGGAAATGCTAAGATGGTGAGACGTATATGGGGAGGGGTGGCTGTCTTTCCAGTAGGGTGAGGGGAGCTCTTGCTGAGGCAAAGCGGGTGCTGAAGTTGGAGGTGAGGATGTCAGATGGATGGGTGCCAGGCAGGAGGCATGGCCAGGGCAAAGGCCTGGAGGCAGGTGGAGCAACCCTTTGTGGGGTTATTGTCTGAATGGTTTTCTCTTCTCATCAGGCCTACTATGTACCAGGCTCTGTCCCAGCACGTGCAGGGGCCTGGCATACAGTAGGTGCTCAATGCATGTTTGCTGAAGATGAACAAAGGGATCCTATAGATCCTGCGGGCCCCAACTACGCACCTGCAGGAGGAGGATGTCATTGAGATTCTGCTCTGAGTTATAGTTGTTGGAAAACTGACGGGTGACGTTGAACCGCTGTTGGCTGGGCTCAATATTCCGCAAGTTGTGGGCCCCAAGCACCACATTCACCAGGGTCTGGGGTCTGCGGGGTCAGGGCAGGGCACTCATCACTTGGTCCCTTACGGGCATCCTGAGGCCCAGAGTTCAGCTCCCTTGGTGACAGCCCCCTCAGACCCAGGGCAGGGCTGAGCCTCACCCTCAGACCTCGGGCAGGTCCACTGGGTACTCACGTGTTTTCTAGGCAGTGAGCCGCGGTCAGCACGAACCTCGGGTGGATCAAGGTGCCCCCACAGAAGTGGCTGTCCATTATCTGCAGTGATGCCACGTAGGGCCGTGAATGAGGCTGGGCTTCCCGCCCACCCACGATCTCTGAAGCCCATGCCGCACCTGAGGATGAGGGGCACCAGTCATCAGTGACAGTCACGTGTCCCTGCTGCACCCACCCCTACCCACCTCCCCGGGAGAGAAGCAGTGGTCTCTGCCCGTTTTATAGATGGAGAGACTGAGTTGAATATCCCAGAGCTGTCCTTCCCTCCCTCTGAGGCGTTCATCCTAAGCAGCAGATGGGCCCTGCCCTGGTCCTGCTTCAGTCTTCCTCTCTGTGCAGTGAGGGCATTGGGCTGGCCATCAGGGGTGGGTATTCTCAGAATGAGCGGGGCCTGGCTAGACAGGCGGAAGAACGTGTGGCCCACTCACCGCCCAGCAGCATGGCCAGCAAGATGAGGGCCAGGGCAGGGCCGGAGTACTGCTGGCTGTGGGTCATGGTTGGGTGGGAGCTCAGGGTCCCTTGCCTGCCCACCAGCTCTTATAGCCCATGCCCAGAGGCCGTTGGGGTTTCCCCATGCCAGGACTGGGCGTCCTCACTTCCTCCTTTCAACTTTGGGTGCACAGGGAGTTGAGGGTGTTGAACCACATTCCAGGAAGACAGGGAGTGTTAGGCTCACAGTCTGAGCCCCGCCCCCCTCAGAGTATGAGAAGCTGTCCCCAGCCCATCCCATACCTGGGTCTCCTGGACAAGGGGCAGCAATGACACAGTCCTCAGAGGGGCACACACCACTCTCTATGACTCTCCCCATGGGGTCCCTGTGTCCTGAGCAAAGTGGACTGTGGCCAGCATGTCCAGGCGCTGGGGTAAGCCTCAGTCTTGGGGACAGGAAAGGACAGGAAAAAGGAGTGGGGGCAACAGAACCATGTGCCCTTCTAAGACCCATATGGATTCATTGTTCTTACCCGGGTCATTGTTCCCCGAGGGGACCCTGTCTGGGGACATCTGTGGTTATCAGGAGTGGGGATGCCTCTGGTATCAAGTGTGTGGGGCAAGGGACATCCTCAATCCCCCCGCTCCCCCCCCCCACCCCAATGCCCAGGATGGCTCCCCATGGAGAAGATCTGCTCCTCTGACCCCCAGGATACAGAGTGCAGGAACCCTGGTTGATTGTTTGGGGGAAATCTGAGCTCACTCACTGCTCATGGTAGATACCAGAATAAATCCCAGTGGTGAGACAGAGTAAACCAGGCGGCCCCAGCATCTGGGAGTCGCCTCCCCACTCTGTCCCACTCAGGCTGTATATTTAAATGTGTACAGCCTCCCAGGACCTCCGCAGTCAGACGGTTACTGAACACGGAGTCTCCTGGGGCCCGTGGACTGCCTGGACCCAGGGGTTAAAGGAATGAGGCGCTGACACTTGCTGCAATATGGATGAGCCCTGGAAACACGACACTCGGTGAGAGAAGCCAGACACAAAAGGACAAATACTGTTTGATTCCATTTGTGTGAAATGTCCAGGACAGGCAAGTCCAGAGACAGGAAATGGGTTAGTGGTTGGTTGTCAGGGTCTGGGGGAGGGGTTTGGAGAGCAACTGCTGATGGGGATGAGGGTTTCTTTTTGAAGTGATGGAATGTTCTGGAACTATATAGAGGTGGTGGTTACGCAACATTGTGAATGCACCAAATGCCACTGAATTGTTGTATAGGCAAGTTGTATAGTTCATAAAGTGTATTTCAACAAAGCTTTAACCAAAAAAGAAAAAGAAACACACACACACACACACACACACACACACAGCCTGCTAGATAACTCACTCACTAAGGGGGAGCTCCCCTGGAGGATCTGGGGTCCTCCTCTCCAAGCACTCTGCTCCAGGCATGCATCACACGGAGGCCTGGGGGGCAGGCAGGTGAATGCAGGGGTGGGGGTTGCCTGGAGGCCGAGGGAGGCGGGATGCTGGGGTGGGAAAGCTCCTGGCTGGGGGTGGGGGCTGTGGAGAGCCTGGGGGTGTAACAGGAGGGAATGCCCTGGACCCTCTGAGGGTTCAGTTGGCAGGTGGAGGGGAAGTGGGGGCTGGAAGCTGTTGCCTGGCCCTTTCCCACTCCAACTGTGGGTGGCTTAACAGGCAACGGCCTCAGGGGAGGGAAGCTAGGTTTGTTGAGTCACCAGGACTCTAGCACGGAGGGAGAGGGAGGGAGCGGGAAGTGCAGCTTTAGTGTCTCTGTCTCTGTCTGTCTCTCTTTTTTCCTCTCCTCTCCTTAAAAAAGGAAAGTACTCTTTTTTGAGTATTGGGAGGCTCCAAGCTGGGAGACCATATGCTCTTGGACCCCAACACCGTGGGTCAGTTTCCCCGTCTGAACCACAAGCAGGCAGTGGCTCCACCTCTTCAAGCTCTGGTCAGGCCCCTGGACTGGTTTAGCCTCCTGAGCCTCTGACGTTCCCCTCTGGGCCTCAGTCGCCCGTGCACAAAGTGGTCTGATGGCAATGCAAATAACCACGGTGGCCTGTCAGTCTAGGTGAGCATCGGGGGCTTCCAGGGGGCAGTGGGTAGCTTTGGGATCGCCCACACTTGGGGCGGGGGCAGTGGGGTCCCACAGAGCCTCCTACCATGCAGTTGGGGTGTAGCTGCAGCCCCCTTCGTACTGTCCAGGGGTCCAAGGCCTTTGCAGGCCGTGGCACATATGACTGTCCACACGCCTGGAACCCCAGGCGGTCCATGGCCCATTCCATGGTTGGGGGGGCGCCTCTAGCAACTCAGATCAGCAGCACTGGTGCTCCCCTAAAATGCAGTGTGGCACCCGTTCAGGGGCTCCCTGCAGCCCAAACAGGTATACTGCTCTTCTTCAACTTAGTACTGATTTTTAAATTTAATTCCCACCCTCACATGGTTCAACCATCTGAAAGCTGAGTAAAAAGCTCCCCACTGCAAAGACTGGACAGTCTCTCGCACCCCTGACCCTCACACCCGGGTAAACTGACTGATTCTCTTGGACTCCTCAGGACTCCGATGGGCACATGAGAATGTGCCCCTCACACATGCACATACATTATTCTGCCCTGGGGTCTTCCAGTGTCCCCGCTGTCTCGTAAAGACCCCTTGGGTCAGTGAGCAGGGTGCCCCCAATTTTTACAAAGCTGCATAATATTCCCCACTGGCTGAACCAGACTTTGTGCATTTTGTGGTCTCCTCCTGAGGACACTGAGTTGTTTTCAGTCTCTTTTCCTTCTAGACGTGTGGCAGGAACACTCTTTGCACCCTTGTCATCTGCACAATGCCAAGTGACAGGGGAGGCAAACCCCCAGGGTGGTGCTGTTAGCTCTGATGCCCAAGATCCACCTCTGCCAGAGGCGTCCCAGTTGCCTGTCCACCGAGGTGGACACGCAAAGAGTTCTCAAACACCGTGGCTTGTGCACATTTCGTAGCTTGAAAAAATGGTATCCTTGAGAAAGTTTGCTTGTATTTCTAATATAATGAATGAAGGTGAAGGTGTTTCCATACAAGATTCCTTTGTGTTTCTTTGCTGTGCACCGCTAATCTCCTTTACCCATTTTTGTACTACTGGACTGTTTCTTTCTTACTGATTTTAAGTGCTCTTCATATTTTAATCATAACTATATTCCACTATATATTTTTAAATATATACATTTTATTTTTTAAAAGATTTTGTTTATTTATTTTTAGACTGAGGGGAAGGGAGGGGGAAAGAGAGGGAGAGAAACATCAATGTGTGGCTGCCTCTCGCACACCCCCTACTGGGGACCTGGCCTGCCACCCAGGCATGTGTCCTGACTGGGAATCGAACCAGCAACCCTTTGGTTTGCAGGATGGCACTCAATCCACTGAGCTACACCAGCCAGGGCTAATAAAAATTTATTTTAACAAACTACATTATATAATATAATTCTATGCATACATAATTTTTATATAGAATTTTTTTGGTTGTCAAGTGATCTTTAATTGAAGTATCTTCCTTTGTAGTTCTTAACTGGCCAGGCACTCCACTGCACCACTGTCGATGTCACCTGTGATGTCATGGGGGCGGCGGCCATCGACACAGCAGCCTGCAGCCTGGGCGGTCTCCGGATCTCTTTAGTGGTCCCGGAGAGCTCTCTAGCTGAAGATCTGCACTGCCTCTGTTGGGCGATGTTGATGATCCATCAAAGTGATATTTCCACTGTGCTTAATGATTTCTTGCTTCTTTCTGTCTCGTGGCGGTTCTCGGAGGGCTTTGATGATCAGGGCAGAGGCAGAAGGCACTGCCTCAGTCTGGGCCTGTCTGCTCTGAATGGTCAGTTTCACTGTGAGCCTCAGACCCTTCCCATCGCCGGTTGCTTTGGCAATGTCATCACCAGCTGTGTTTTGGAGACAGGCCCAGCCAACCTTGGGGGCCAGGGAGGATGTGGCACTGACTTCCCCACCAGTGCGCCTCAGGTAGATGACTGATCTCTCAGGGGCTGAACTTCGGCAATATGGTGGAGGCGGCTGGTGTGGGATGAACCTGGATTCCGGACGACCGAAGGAAGTTGCACCTTCACCTCCAAGCCGAAAGCCAACAGCATAATTGTTATTTATTATTTAACAGTTATGTTTAGCGCTCCCTGTAGTAGGCATATTAGTTTTCTGTGAATCCAGTGGCAAACACTCTTTGGCCAGTGTCTCGTGTGCCTTTTGCCTTTGCTGCACAATATATTCTTGACCAAAATGACAGGTGGTTAAGGGGGCTTAGAATCTCACAGATTTGGGTTCAGATCCCACACTGGCTGTGCGGCCTCGGTGAGTCACCCAAGCTTTCCCAGCCTCGGTGCTCCCTGTCAGGTAGGATGATGACAAGCCCTGGCTCTCAGGGCTGTGAGTGAGTTCAGCGAGTGGAGGCCACTCTGCCAGTAAATGCTCGTTGCTTCCTGCCCCCTGCCCCCGGCCCCCGCCAATCTGGCAAAGCAGAGGCCAGGTGCAGAGAGAACGGGGATGGCTTCTTTATCAGGGTCCTAACCGCACAGGCTGGGGTGTGTGTGGGGGACAGGCCCGGAGGTAGGAGGTCACATGCCATCTCCCCAAGGGCTCAGCGCGGGGCTCCTCCGGCCAGTGCTGGTCCAGCAAGGGGTTTAAAACAGAATTGATCCAGTCTCAGAAGAGTGCCACAGGGGCAAAAAGTTGGGGCCCCTCCAACCAGGCTCCATTGAGAAGGAGGCCACACCACGTGCCCAGCTGTTGCAGATTAGGTGCCCCCATCACCCTGGATGGGTGGCAGACCAGTGAGGGCACCCCCAGGCCCAGCCCCATGCACTCTGCTCCCATCACAGAACAAACGAGCTGGTGGCTGCCACCATAGCTTCAGCCTTTCTCCTGCAACCCTCAAACCTTGTTTCAACCCCATGTGCTCTCATGCTGCTAAAAATGCTCGAATATTCATCATCCAGGTCTAATTCCATACTCAGTCCAGGGGCCCTTGTCCTGGCCTTGCTCTCACCCACCACAGGGAACTCATTACCTCTC